CGTCCGAAATTTTTTACGAGCCACGATCATTGTCGTGACAATAACAAAATACACACGCTTACCTTAATAAAAGAAGTTTGAATTATAATACAAATAAAGTTATTATAAAAAAGACTTATCTATCACATCAAATGAGATTTCACGATCTTTCTATACCTAATATTTGAAATTGGTTGTGAATGTGTCATAAATGCGTCAAATCATTTGTACGTCCACAATATAAATATTGTGACCGCGTTGTTTTTTTCCGTTTCCTAACACATTAAACCCTTAACGTTTCAGGGTTGGTCCTTTTAAAAAAGCTTATTAGCGTTGTCCAGTGGCCGTAACTGGTCCGATTGTGCGTATTATCGTGGAGGGCGCCCAATTTTCTCTTGATGAGTTTTTTACGAGTTCTATAGCCGTACGTAATTTACGAGGCTGTAAACGTTCGCGGTACCCTTTGATAACTAGAGTATGTACGTCGAGATATGCTCCTAACATTGCCTTTCGGTAGATAAAGTGTTTTCGGGTTTAATTAGTTCAAAAGACTTTATAACACGACCGCCCGAGAAATAAAACAATATTATGTAAGATCTTAAATAAAGACTTTATTATAATACATTATATTATATATTCAACAACTACAAGATCATTTGATCATGGAAAGTCGAGATGAAAAATCTAATATTGTATAAGTATGTTACATATTTTAATAAATATAAATCATTGAAAGAATTTTGTATCGATTCATTAATAATAATTACAGTCGTACATAAGCCTTGATGTTAACGCAATAAAACTTATCCGAACAGAACGAACACTCAAACAGAATTTGTCATTTCAGAAAACTTTGTTAAACATAAATAATGTAGTAACAATTGTCTCGAATTTTATTGCAAATTGAGGTATACGCAATTATAAATTAAATTCTATATAAACTTCAATATTTATTCCAAAAATTCTAATTCTTTTCATTTAAATAATTATATATTTACGCCCGCGATCGTGAATGACTATGAAAGAAATATCAATAATATAATTATTAATTGAATAATCATTATTGAATTATCAAAGAAATTATGAAAAAAGTCCAAAAATAACTGATCCTCTTATGAATAAATTATAAATAAATTCATAGGAAACCTTAAAAGTGAAAGTTCATAATATTACTAAGTACATAATCATTTAAAGAATCGTATTATCCTTTATAATATTACTTTCATATTTGATTGTACATCAAATTAAAATAGCTGTTAAATATTTCAGCGATTAATTATTCTGCTTGTTCAGAATGTAAGTAGTACTAAACAGAATGTTACCCGCTGTTACCCCCTAACTCCTCCTTACCCCCTTTAGCCAGTTTTACCCTGTTAAGAAACTTTAAACAGCAACACTTGTTTTGAATATCAAACTATACATAACAGAACATGCGGCTAAGACATTTATTGTCTGCTCTCTCTAGAAAATGTTCTTAAACTTAAATTTGTATATCGCCATTAAGATACACGTATACAAAGAAAGATATAAAATAAATACAAGTTTAATTTTATCTTCCAGTAGTTAATAAAGTCCCTGCTCCAAAAGTTCAAGTCGTTGAAGCCGGTCGCTTAAGAAGTGTAGTTGATTATCCTTTACAGATCTGAGATGCTGTAGAGAATCCAATTACATTAGTATTACTGTTGGGGAATCTCGGAATTAATTATTCTAATTAAATTTCTCATTTCCCGATGTCTAGGTGCATGTGACTGAGTTAGCTGAGCGTTAAGACGCCAGCTTTGGAGCAGTAATAAACAAATGCCAACTATAATTTATGTAACATAACCTGAACATCCACTTGTCTAGTCTAAGTCTAGCCTAAATGATATACAGTTCTCTTGATGATGAATAGAAATCGTTAAGGAATTTTATTCGCTTTTACCCCCAGGGGTAATTGTAGGTTATAGCCTCGAGATTGATGGAAATCAAGAACAAAAGGAACAGATAATTTATATACAACATTTTTGATGTATATCTTATGAATTTCATCTCCAAAATTTGAATAAATTTGATGAATAATTCTTGTGAAGTTTAAATTAGCAGACATAGTATATTATATATACCATTTGTTTATTAAAATATAGATCTTATTTATAAACACGGGTAATGAATTCGTGGAACACTACATTGGTAAATCTAATTTAAAATAACTGCAGTCTTGGTGAATCCAAAGTTTAATTTATATAATAATTAAACCGGTGTTTGTGCTAACTGATTTGCATTAACTGTGACATCTCGACTGTCCTCACTACCGGCCTGTTGTACAGAAGAATGTTTAATGAAACTAGTATGTATGTATTTATTTATTTATAATACACTTTTTATTCCTAATATATTCAATGATAAAGTCAGTGGTGGCTCAGTGGTTAAAGGGCCGGCCTCTCATGCACGAGGGCGCGCGTTCTATCCTGGCCCGGGCAAGTATCAATGTGATTTTTCCGAATCATATGTACTTTCTAAGAGTATTTAGACATCTCTGATTAATGTTGATTCCCAAAAGAGGGTTGATGTCAGGCAGGCGGCCGGTCGTAAAAACAAATAGCCAAAAACTATTCACAACATGTAAGGCAGACCCTGGCTATAGCTGGGAAATTGCCATGTAGAAGAAGAAGATATTCAATGATAAAGGATTTTCATATGATTGTTTTTAAGTTTACTTTCGTATATTTTAAGTCGACTTTTACTTTACATTAAAGTTAATGTGCTCACATGATGAATGAATTGTTTGTTCCTAACCCGTTAAATTTATCTTGGGGTTAATGCAAAGATTATATACAATGATGTTTAACAGTCGTACACCATTCCTATATAAGAGAATTTTATTTTAGACAGATTTTGCATCTAATCTGTATGTAGTTAAGTCATAAATATAAAATTCGTAAAATACATATTGTTTTTGAAGTTCAAAATCTCATATTGAAGTTTTGCATCTACAAATTAACTTCCATACTTTGCTTGTGACTTTGAGTACGAATTAAATAATTTTTCCTTTAATTATCATATAAATTCTTTACTATAATAAGAGGTGTTCAATAAAATTAAATTCTCTTCGAGTTTTAATCGTCTAGCAAATTTTTTTTTTGATCCCAGCAAGAAACCTTTCATTATACGGTTTCTTCGTTTAGGGCGCGGAATGCTTTAGAAATCAAAGCATTTCTCGCCATTGGTTGAACATGCTAATCAATAGTTTATTGTATAGACATTATTATCTACAACCGATTTTAATTGAATCGTATGAATTTAATATACTTTTAATTATATTTATTTCAAATATAATACATAATATCTGCTTTATCTAGGACATCAAAATTTCAGGAGCTATTTATAAGTGAAAAGCCAATAGATAAATCAATTTATAGAAAAATAAACTAATATCATACAATTATCTATATTACTTTTCGACTTTTTACTTTAACATTATTTATTATTAAATCTTCTAAGCACAAAATATATTTACTAATATTAATATATTAATCTTTTTCAATCATTTTTATAGCCTGTCACTGATAAGTTAACCAATAGATATTTTTATCATACTTTACTATTTTTCTTTAACAGTATTAAGTGGAGACACTCTCTGTTATTTACTAAATCTGTTACATCTAATATAAATGTGTCCCGCGTCCTCACGAGCTTCATTCACGAGGGTTCATTGATTTGTCATCAAAACTTAAATTTAGATGTTTCAACCGTCCGTTTAAGGTTTGTTTATTCAAGGTCAGCTTACTAAATTTACTTTTGGAGTTCTATATATATGTATATACAAGAAAGTCCCCTTTTTTGGAATTAATTTATTTTTGTTAAAAACTAGCTATATATTTTATATACTTCTATATTAATAAGTACAATTTTAAATTATTATACGAGAGTTTAGAGTCAGTTAATTTATGAAATAATTAAACTATAGTTAAATTTGACGAGCTAAATTAATAATTATTTCGTTTCTTAACACATTAAGTTAATTTTTACTGAAAACGCTCTTATATTTGTTTTACTAGTTAATGCAAGAAAAAATAATTCTTTTTTTATAGAAAAGTTTGATTTTTATTACATTTTGTTGGTGATTGTAAGAAAAATAAATAGCATGTTGATTTGAACAAGAATATAATATTATTTCCAGGTCGCGTCTGTTATTGCTCTGGGATTTAGAGACAATGTTGAACAGAGCTAACAATAGCTCATAAAATATATAAAGTCTATATGAAACAAGTGTCTAAATTAATTAACGTGTGTTTATTTGATACGGTAAATGAAACAGTAACGTTGCAATCCACTGCGGAATGGAATGATTCGTCCAAAACAAATTAAATTCCACAGTGAGCGAGTAATGTACATCAAATTGATGTGTCACGTGACAATGTGTTCAAACGATTTAAATGAAATGACAACCGACAGACGTCGAAATCAACAAAAAAAATATATATAGCAAAAATTATTCTTAATCGTAACAACATAATAAATAGTTTAAAAAATATATCATTAGTACTACAAATAAATTTCTAGAACCTTTTTGTTGAAGATAATAATGTTGAGAAGTAATTTATATATAGCTTATATACAGCTCATCAAAGAATAGAATTAGTGGTGCTGTTGAAGAACAAGCTAGTATCATGAAACGAGCTGTTGTAGAACCAGTGAGCCGTCTGATTACAACGGCCGCGAACCTAACTAAGCTTATTTGGTCACTACCATTTGTTGTCGATCGAATAAACCTTCACCCAAAAACGCAATCACAAAACATTCTTTTAAATTTATTACTATGATATTTTTATATATTTCGATTTTATATTATTTTGCTTTATGTATATTTTTAATACGCACCATTTAAAACAATATCTATTTATATATTTTCGATGAAGTAATTTTAATTTTCGATGATAATATTTTTTATAATTAGTCGTAACAAATGGTAAGGGCCGCAGTCGCAAATTGTGGCTAGTCCTGTTACGCTTCGAGTGAAACAAGCGTATATGTAACCTAATATGGCCGAGAGGTATACATATATAAAAGATAAAAAAGATATATATAAAGATAAGAAAGAAAAGATTTCTAATCAAAAATAAAACGCGAAGTAAAATCCGAAAAATATTAGTTTCATTTAAATGAGTACTTGTGAAAATCTTAGATCTCATTATGAAAAGAAAAGACATTGATTTCGACTTTATCTTTTGTTATATGGAATGACCATAAAATAATTGGTATCTTTGTTTTTTATATTCCAATGCTATGTAGTATATAATGCGAGGTATATAAGTGCATTTTCTAACGATACAAATCAGTATAGTTCTAGTATCATAAGTATTTTTCCCAGCGGCCTCAAGAGGATTATATTTTTCATTATTTGCTTTACCTTCACGATTCTTCATGCATGTCTGAGATGAAGCGAAGCAACGTTTTATATAAAAATGATTACTAGCCGACCTGGCAAAGGCCGTTTTTCCATATAAAATAAAAGGGGTTGGTGATAAAAAAGTAAAAAATTAGGGTTTTGTGTTTTTTTTAAATCACAAATTTCGTTCAAAAATAAAAAAAAATATATATGGGTAAACAACCCTTACACTTAGGTATATGAAAAATAAATAGTAGCCGATTCTCAGACTTACTGAATACGTATATAAAATTTGGTAAAAATTAGTAAAGCCATTTCGGAGGAGTACAGTAACTAATAATGTGTCATGTAATTGTATATATTAGATTTTTTTACTCGATTCTTGATACATTTTTATTAATATATATATTTCGCTTGTTGCAGAAGAGCACACCTCAGAAGTTGCTTGGAGAAATTAAAGGATATGGTACCTCTAGGCCCCGAAGCTTCACGACACACTACATTAGGATTATTAACAAAAGCCAAAAGATTTATAAAGGTAAGTATTGTATAACATTTACATGTACTTGTGTCTGGTAATACCTGACAATTTCGTAACTTTAGCCAGGGTCTGCCTTACTTGTGTGAATAGTTTTGGCTAATTGTTTTTACGACCGCCCGCCTGCCTGACATCAACCCTCTTTGGGAATGCATTAATCAGTGATGCCTAAATATTCTTATAAAGTACATATATGATGTACTTGTGTATCTAACTCAATTGTTTCGAGTGCCTTAACGGCTTAGTTAAATGTCCCAATGAAATTCTTTTGTCTTGTAAAAACCATGGCATTGGGCTCTTAAAGGAAAACCCCGGATAAATCGTCTTTTGAAACTTAAAAGAATGGAAATATTTGTTTTTGTTATTTTATTATATTTATATAATAACATTACATCAAAGTTTCTTTGTGTTTTTATGTATACTGATAAAATAAAATAATAAATTTAATATTCATTGGAGATCTTTCGAGTTATATTGGAGCTTTAGTTTTAGATTTAGACACAAAATAATAACGCATTCAGACACTACTTGTGAATGACAAAAAAAGTATATAAAGAGACTACATAGTGCATAAAGTTAGTTCATAGTTCTCGTCAAACGAATTCAACTTTCAAAGTGAACAATAAAGCTCACGGTCTTTGAATTCGTTAAAAAGACAATACGGTGAATTCGTGAACCGCGGTCCTTACTGTACTGGCTTCACGAAACAAAGGTTTCGGTTCTGCACAGTATCCTGGCAACTTCCTACCCACATCGACCCCCAGTTCACCTACACACCTCTTAACTGTAGATTTATATGCCTTAAAAGAGTTGCAAAGAATAATATCTTGGTCGTAAATCTTATATTATTATGAAACTCCTCTTTGTGTAACAATTCCTCGAAATCTTTTTAATCACGCGACACGTTAACGGAAATTCTCGTTAATTAAAACTCAATTCACTTTAGACGTCTGTATTGTTATTGTAACAATACTATGTTTGTCGCCCGTGTTTTTGTTTTAATATAAATATACAAGTCAGTTTATAAAGGAAATGTCGAATGTTTTTCACTTTTAAGATTTTAATCGCGATTAATAAATGTAACTTGGGGCTTAATCTCGAATTTCAGGATTTTATATTTACTGATAGGACAAAAAAAAAGTACAACATTTGTAATTCTACCAATGCGAGGTATTTTCGTTGCGACGAAATATTATTATCCATAATTTCTGTCATAAAGTCTGCCGAATGGCGAAATAAAGCAGCTTCTACGCTATGAATGATGGCCGGACACCGGATGAGGAGGCATTCGTCACAGCTTTGTGTGCACAGCGAGCCGGTGTCGCGTTAAGGATATCAGAACAGTATCATACGAAAACCGCCTCTATCACAATCGCTTAAGAAACAAAATGCCTCACGGTTCTCGAGTTATAAGTCCATTCGGCAAGCTGTACGGGAAACTTGGTATTTACCTTTCGTCGCTATATGCGTTATGCTCAAAGCGTCCTGAACTATATTTGCAAGGTCTTGTGTAACACAAATGAAAAGATGTCGGTATTTCGTACGCTTCACTGTATATTTTAGTTATTTTGTATGAAAATAAACTTTCACTGTTATAATATATTATAACGCGTTATCGTAACGAAGTCAAGTTAGTCCATTGCAGTCCGGCTAGGAGTAGACTAACTTAGTAGGAATAAAACAAAGTTCGGACAAGTTAATCTACAGGTTGCCAAAGACCCTGCTTCTCTTACTTAAGCTCATTCCGAGTTAACTTCCGATGCATTCAATTATTTTGAACTTTGCAACGGTCCGGACTGAAACGTTTGGAACGTTCCAGACTTACGAATTATCTTTCAGTTATATTTAAACCGAACATTTTGCATTTTTAATGAACGCTCTTTCACAAAGAATTATTATCATTTCAATAGAATTATTATATTTAAAATCTTTTTCGAATTTTATACTCACAATGTATGCGTGATTGATAAAATCAAAGTTACTGTCTATGCCTACCAAAATGGTAAATTTTATAAGAAAAAATTAAATTAAAAAAATGCTCATTTTCGTCGGTGGTAGCGCCCAACCTATTAATTAATTTAACAATGTATATTATTTAATGTGAATACTTCAACAGGGTCAATGATTGCGTTAAATAGGCCATTCTTTTGGTTAATGCAATCGCGTGTTAAGGGTTTACGAGCGCGGTCAACAATTTGATGGATGGCCGGTCTCACTTATCTAATGAACATTGCACCTGGATTTTGAAAAAAATATTTGATTTATTAAATTTACTTACTTAGTATGAATGTATCTTTTCCATTTAAAAAGAAATCTTTTCACAATTTATTGCCGTGGGTGTATTGCGTCATATTGGGAGACTTACTATCTATTGAGTTGAGCTTAGAAAGAAATAAAAAATCTCAACTAATTAAATTTAAAATATATCTAATATACCATTGAGAAATTTATTTTTATCTTAGTGCGTTTAAAGAAAAGCTTTGTATATAAAAACTAATAGTTTTGTCTATCTCTACTAACAAGACCAAAACAATGTCTGTCACAGACATCCTGTGATATAACGGATTTAACAGAACATAACGGAACGGCTAATTATGTCCATTATATTATAACGTAATGGTTAATAACATTACGTGTGCACGACGTCTTGTAACACGAAATATCATTAAATTATTAGTAGAGCATACTTTCATGTTAGTCCTTTTAATTGAAAATATTAGAGGATGTACCATGGAAGTGATTTTTTGTTTCGTTAGAATATAACTTGTTAAATTAATAGAGCATTTGTAAAAGTCTAGAATAAGGAAATATTTTTTACAGATTGTGCTTCTCATAAAAATATTCTCCGAATAAAATTCTAGTTATATATTCGAATTCCGTACTCAGAAGTTATCTAACACTTAGTTTTCTCCCCGTTGTAAATCAACGAAATCGTTTATAAATTCCTCTGTTAACGAAATTAAACTTGTCACTTAGATATCTGTTTGTAAGTAAACAGTTAAAATTTAACGAATTTATTTAATTGTATCGTTAACAGATCCGATCTTCACGCTTTTAGTTAAACACGCGAATAATAACTTACTTGGAAATTAAATAAAGTGAAACGAATGAATTATCTTATTATTTATTTAAAGGGTTTCGTTTCTCCCGGGAATAGTTCTTTTTTTTATTTGAAAGGTATAATATAACCCTCTCGTATGGATGTAGCATTATTAATAATCGATTTAGTTAAAACATCGCAAAATAACATACATACATATATATTATAAATATATATTAAAAACGGCTTTAAAAGTGGTAGATTAGTAGGCATAAAAAAATATTTTTTTGCTGAACAAAGGTTTGTGTTACATTTTAACACATTAAGGCTTTAAATTGTTTACCCTGGAAGCATTTAGGACTGTAATTTAGCTGGTGATCACGGGCAGGTGAGATGTGGATGTCTCGTTATGATTATATAACTAGCTTTTGCCCGCGACTTCGTCCGCGTAAATTTCGGAATTGGTAACATATGTTATATATGTATATAGTAATCCCCTTCCCCTCAAGAGAGAGTGTAAATAAAGAGATATTGGAGTTCATAAAGTTTTATGTTTTTAGTTAAGTTCAGATAGAATTAAATATCATATGTCCGTTTCCTTGTTCTAGGCTATCTTCCTACCAATTTTCAATCATATCTCTACAGCAGTTTTTAAGTTATAAATAGTGTAACTAACAAGACTTTCTTTTATATGTATATAATGTTGTTGGGAATATTTTTAAAAGTCCGCCAGAGACATTGTTGGACCTCTAATTACAGCTGATATTTATTGCGGACAGAGATTGGACTCCGGTTGCCCCCTACAGCTTTGCCCCCTGAGCTCTGCGGTTAATTATCGTGATTAATAAGAGGTCGGGAGGTCAAGAATTGCGGAATTAAAGAAAACTTTCTCACGTTTAATGTTTATATCTGAATACTAGATACGATCTAGCCGATTCGTTATATTAGTTATTAATATTAATGTCGTATTTATTAACGATAATTCACTTAAGCAAATAGAAAGGAAATATAAAGTTAAATTATTTAAATTGATGTACTAAGCCTAACTATTATATATGTCAAGTAAAATCCACTTATAATGAGAAAATTTATGATAATGTATGGGTAATTCTCACGAAATTCCGAAATTCTTGTCCTTGGAGTTTATATAAAAATCAAACAAAGAAATGAATGTTACTAATATTTCTATACAATCCACATGACTATACCTAAAAGATTCACATAAGATTTTAGAGGAGTATTAATAAATAACTAAAAATGCATTAACCATAATGTTCCTAACATCATTCCCTCACCGTTTCTCAAGTACCAATTTTATTTAGTATTATTTACCAAAGAAGCACAAAAATCATTACAATACATACATGTACGTATGTATGTATGTTACATGTAACTCAAAAACAAAGGTATTTTTATCGTAGCTATCAGAAAACAGAATGGTATATGGCTGTTATTTTTTATTTAGCAATAAAAATGTCCCGTGAAATCTCGTGGACCCGCTATGAATAAATTTTCATTCCGCATATAAATAATATAACGTTATCTGACAAGGTAACACATAATATATTTATTATAAATACGCGATGCACAAAATAATTAAAGTTGAAAAGAAAATTGAAACAGGAGAATGGTCGAACCTTACAAAATTTTCCTTTACTAAATTCAACTTGGTGGCGATTTTTCAGAACCTATTATAGCCTTTATTGCATTGATATAAAGATCAAAATATAATCTATCTCAGTATAATCCAATACATCTTATGTTTGGTATAATAAGGTTCAAAATCGCCTAACTTTCAGACGTAATGCTCTATGAATTATGTAATATTCTATTCTGCTTGGTGTCGAACTTGTGTTTTTTGGGTGAAGCCTTCAAGCTTTAATATGATTAATAATAATAATGTATTAATATATAAAGAGATAACGAAATAAATTCCTCAACTTATTCATATTTATGTAAAGCCTTAACGAATGAAGTGAAAAGTTGAGTTTCTTTATCAGTTCGGCAACTGTGATTAAATTTGACTGAATATTTTACATTCTTTACTTTTACTTTAGTTAATTATGATACTGAACGATGGAACTTACAGTATTACGTATTTTCATCTGAAAATCATTTTGTTATGATATTGAAAAACCATCAAATATTTAGTATCAATTGTTGTATAAAAGTTTTGAAATTTGACATGACATTTCTTTTAAAATATATACTCAAAAACTCTTATGTAGGAAAAAAATTACTTCTTGTCACTCACATCTCGTCTGTCCGTGATCACGGTTGCTGTCAAGTAGCCGAAACGTCGGGAGTATGTAGTTTATAGTCAAAAATAAAAAACGCGTAGTAAATCCGAAAATATTACTTTCATTTAAAAAAATAATTCTTAATTACACCTTTTCTCTTCCTACATTTTGATCGTTTTAATTTTTCATAACTTTTACTTTAAACCCAATTTTGATATTCTATATATATCTCGAAGCTCGTAACTCACCGATATATCCGATTTCAATAACAACTTGATGTGAATGTATAAATAATTTTATTATTATATATATTTTTTATTTGACCGATTTTATATTTACAATCGTAAATCGGCTTAACGTCGATCCGCGCAATAACAACCGACTCTCAGAGGCTTACGGTTGATTCTTATCGATTATAGTTATAAAGTTATGAATTAAAATTGTTATTTTATAATAAAAATGTATATTCTAGTTACTGATTAACAAAACTATTGCGTTTAATGCTTATTATATTGATTTTGAAGCTGTAATAATGATACTTAACAAAATGAAATAGGATTTAGGGTTTTTTTCCTTTTAAATGATATTTATTAAGTCTGTCAAAGTAACGGATAAAAGTATTATATCCGACCGTACATATCATCACATGCTCCGACTAGGATTCAATCCGACAACTCTATTTTAAATCCGTTCAATCCGAATGCATTGTTTGTCTTCCAAATGCTCACTCAAATCCGCTGTCTGTATGATGTTCGCAATGTTTTTAACAATCCTATTCAGTTAGCGACTGTTCAGTTTGTTTTATTTAATTAGGATGTGCTCAGAATCGCCAGTTCGATTTCCAGTTGTGACAAAATTAGGAATCTGTCCCATGTTGTTGGATAAGTAACAAGTGTTCATATTTGTGTGTATTTTTTATGGAATCTATAAAAAGTTTTTATATTGCGAATAGAATTTGAAGTGGCGATCAAAAGTTTCGGAACCACCCGGAGATGTGGCGTTTTTTTTTAAGATTCTTCCTCAACCGTCCTTTTTAACGTGTAAACTTTTTTATTATATCAACTATAAATGAAAGGTCTAAACTGGATTGACGCTCGTCAGTCGTCAACATTGAATCGTAATTGTATTTTCGCTCCAATAAACATTAATGAGTCCGCCTCTTCACAGATTTCTAGTAAACAGACATATAGCAATAAAAGTTGGTACAATAACTCTGTTATGAGACATTGTTATCAGAAATTAACCGAGAAGGGTTAGGAAAGTAACTGCTACGAAGTAAAAGTTCATATTATAATATATTTAATATGTATATATATATATGTTTCAAACTGCAGGTAAAGCATACAGTAAGGTTTCTTTTTTAACAACTATAATGTGTCATTAAAAACTATGAAATTAACTTTGTAGACTCTTTATTTCAATTCGGTCAGTAAGCCACAATTACTTCTGCGTAGACCATGTAACAGGTTCAACTTGGATAACAAATATCAATAAAATTGATTATATTTTAATAAAGCCTTATCTCAACATCAGTCGGCAACATCAAAAGAATTTAAGGGCGTTGATACACTTTCGTTTATCCATAGTAAATAGTATTACCGATGTAATTTTGTTATACGGAATTTATAAAAGCAAATTAGGTATTTTAGCATTTTTCTACCGTTGGTAAGACATAAAGATGAAAGAGAACCGACCGAGAGGGATTGTAAATTTTAATATAGAAAAATATTATGATAAAGTTTCTTTTAGGGTAAATAAGTAAATAAACATGTATGTATTTTATATTTTTGTTTAAAGTAACTACGAGTAGGTTCTGTGATTGGTAAAGAGAGAATTTTGCATCAGTGAACCTAATAAATAAAATGATTGAAATATTTAATTTATACATAACTTCTATATATATTTTTTCCATTCTCTTTTTTCAAACAACGCCACTCTCATTGTACATCTCATAATCATGTTATTTACGTCCTACAAGAAAATATAAGCTTTACGAGGTATTTAAAAAAATATTTCATCAAATTTACTTTTCTTGAGAAAATTCCTGAATATAATTAATTAACCAACCATGTTTATGTTTTATTTATTAACAAAATCTTGATATATATTTTCTTTTTTTAAAGAAGAAATTTTATAAAAAAAAAACTGTTCAGGTATCTAGTGGATTCATTTTAATTCATATTATGGATGTAGATTGAAAAACTTGGAATAACCAATTAATATACAGAGGATTTGCATTTGATTGTACCGACGTTTGAGTTTAGTCCGATTTAAACAAAAACCTTTCTTTTAACGTTTCACTTATATTAATAAAGAGTACAATTTCATTTATATAACGAGGTTGGCTCTCGGAAGTGAAGGATTTAATATTATCGTGACGTCATTAAAGCGACCATTACATGAGGAATGGCACATTATTTTTTCATTCTCCCAAAAATAATTCTCGGAGAGAGGACAAAATAGAGGCAGGATGGAAATGCGTCGTGGCAGATTTATGGGGGGATATTTCATCCCGTCCGCTCTGCCTCCGCCCAATAACCCCCCTTCCCCCCTCTATAGGGCGATTGCACACTATATTAATGTAGTATCAATATGTTTTATAGTCCGTAAACTAAAAACATATATAGTTTCAAACATAATTCTATCTCCTACATCTGCTACATTTAACTGTATATTTATTTGTTGGAATGAAATTGAAAAATGTTAAATAATGCTAGTAAATTGTATTGTGTATGATATATTTTAGAGTTCGTGAATCATATTGAAATCAAACCAGTTGAAAACATTCCCTTATTATTTATTTTGAGATGCTTAAAATATTCTCTTCGTTAATTTTGTCCACTAAAAGCATTTTTGTGTGCAGCGAGCTAGTGTTGTTTATCTTTCAGATATTGTGTTATTTGTACAACATTTTGTTTATTTCAGGTAATATTTATGACGTCTTTGTTAGGTATCGGTGAATTGTATCCCCCCACGGCCCCCAATGACCCCCGACCCCAGACTAAATTGGCCCCGTAAGAAATTTATTAGGTATTCTATCAAAACTACAATCCCATTAGCGATTTGTCACGTGATTTAGCTCAATATTGTTTTTATCGTTCCAATAGATAACATAATTTTGGATAAACTTTTGATTTGATGTTCCCATCACGGGTTGAAACTTTTTTATCATCTGATCAAAATAATGGATTTTAACTTTTAAAAGATTCAGAAATATTCGTGCTTTGGCTCAATTATACATTTTGAAAACTAGTAATATATATTTTTTAGGTTTCGTTAGAGGTGTATTGATCACATATTTCTATGTGAGCCTTTTCTCGCCAGTGGCCGGTCGCTCGGAAAAAAGTGTATCGAAACTCCTTCGCTCGCGTCATGTCTGTCGAGACTTCGTTTTTTATATTTTTGCATATAAATGCATTGTCTGCTATCGACTTTGGAATGAGAACGAAAAAAAATTTAAATGAAAATTATAACTTGTCTATATGGATACGGTTTAAGCTATTTATACAGTAAACTTGCATAATATTTTTGTTTTATTTAAATGAATTTATTAAAATAACTTCGTCAATTAGTGTATAGTTAATACTCTATTATGATAAATGTTCTCTAAAGTCACACTTCGAGGCGGACCTGAAGGATTTAATCAAGAAAATTGATAAGTACGTTTGTGTTTGAAGGTTCTTGAATTAAGATGAATCTGAAATCTGAGAGTGAGTTTAACAGATATCGATTAACGAGTCAGCTATTCAGATATATGTATGTATGTATACTTGAAAACTGATTGGATTTTAAATTATATTCCTATTAATAATATAGTATGAACGTTTGTTTTGTCAATAGTATTTATAAAACTTTAAATTTGACTTCTTTAGCAACAATTCCATTGGAATTTGTTATGAAATAATTTAAATCTTATTAAGCATTAATGTTTTCAGAACTTAGAAGAACGGGAGAAGCGACATTCGAGTCATAAGGAGCAATTGGCGAGGGAGCAGCGTTATCTCCGGCGGAGGCTGGCCCAGCTACGGACGAGCAGAGATGTTAGGATTGATAACAGCATGCACGCCACCAGGGCTGACTCGCTGTCCTCGCTGGAGTCTTCGTCCGGAGTCTCCACGGAGAGGTCGCCGTCGAGCGTTTCAGAGAGCGGTGAGTTTATATCAACATCATCACTATCAGTCTAGACTTCTTTTATACTGTTACGCTGATTTCCGGGATGTAAAGTACCCTATGTGTTATTCCTGGACGTCAGCTTCCTGTATACAATTTTTTTTCAAAATCGTTTCAGCCGTTTGAGTATGAAGAAGTAACAAACATACACACTCACAAACTTTCGCAATTATAATTATAATATTAGTAGGATGAGCAATTGGCAAACGAACAGATGCTTACTTGATGGGCATACTCGGACAATCTATCTCAATGCGTGTACCTTTTAAGTCCAAAAGACCCTGTCAGAATAACCTAAGCCCTGGATCCTAGGTCCATCTAGTGGACGATCTTACTTCATTACACTTATTATATGTGAATGTGCCTTGTTTACAATTCAACTTAATTATTATTGGTACGCTAGGGTCGTGCTATCCTGCTGCTTCTTGTTGAAAATGTCTAAGTTTTTGAGTATTTATGGTTGTATGAATATTTGTTGCTATGTCAAGTGAAATTCACTTAACAGATTTTGATGAAACTTCCACTGACGTAACTTAAAGTCAATATAATAATCCGTGTAGTTCATGAAAATAATTTCTATCAAGACTCATATTATTTTCTGTCACACAATCATCTTGTACGACGACGTAATTTACGCAGTTTCTAAACCCAATTCCGAAATCTACGCTTAATCGCGTGCATAAACTAGTAACTAAAGTAATCCTTGGTTGCAAAGCTCTTTATCCATGAAGTGATTTAATCGTATGCTCGCCTCTAAAAGCGTTTCATAGCTAAATTTCAAGTAACACCAATTAAACATTCCAGCTATCTGGATGCCATAAAGGGCTAAACAATTGTCAGTGTCGGTGGAATGCGAAACAATACATAAGCCAAATGTCACATTTCATTATTATCATACACTGCCTTACTCACAAAGGATCCATGAGCTTGTACCAGGATTGACTTGCCCGCTTCGTGGTTGTGGTTTTGACTCTAATATTAAATGACTATATATTATCATTAAATAGAGTATTTTTTACATATATTATAGTATCTTTATATGCTGGATAGACGGTTGCTTTTAATAAACTTAATTAAATAAGTGTATATGTGAATAATATTAAAGAAAAAAGTTAATACATATACAGGGTGACTGGTGAATTACTATCAATATTTAAGGAGAATACTCGGTACATGATTCTCATTCGAATTATGTAAAAAAATAGGTACTTAATTTTTGACCAAATTTCCGTATAATTAATAAATATTATATTAATATATGTCGCTGATTTAAATAATCTTTAATGACTTTAATAATGACTAAAATTCTTTAAAATATTTTATATATAGTATCCTCTCTAGTCATTATTGCTCAGTAAACAGTTGGTCTCACCATCTAATACGTTAAATCCCGTGACTTTACTCCCAAAGCCCATATTGAGGACACAATTGGATTCTTTGTACTCGACCTCTCGTATTTAATTTTGTCCGTTAAATTATTTAACTGTCTTTAATTAAACCTCGCAATACTTTGAATATTTTTTTGATGATAAAAATACAGAATTTTTAAAAATTAATGGACAGTTTATCACCAGTTTTGATATCAAAAAACATTGAGTTATAACTAAGAAATAAATAATAATGTATATGTAAGAAAAAATAATTTAAACTTAAAAAACTATATATACTTTTAAGCGATATATGTATGTAGATTATTATAACTAAAATCACATAGTTCAAAAAGAGAAAAAAACATTGTTTTGATACAAAAACATTTCATCGTCACGTGTCATAAATACCGAAAAACAATATGAGAGAGGAGTTTGACGCACAGACTGATATCTACAACATTTTATATGGTGATGCGGGCCTCGTAAAAAAAAATATTTGCATCTCCATTGTATAGGGAGAGATAGCCGTAAACTTAATAGGCCTTTTAGTAACGGCTCTTTGACTATATTGTTTAAGATTTACATTGAATCAAAGGAAAGTATAACAAAAAATAAAATTGTACGTCTTTTAATAGGAAGCGACACGATGCTCTGTCCTTTGTTATAGTAAAAATATCAGTTGGAAATAATTTTTAGCTTAGAAGTATAAGTGTAAGTTGATGATGAAATTTATGATGAAAATAGTACAAAATTAATATTAATAAATTGTTAGGTTTAGGGAAATGAATGGGGGAACAAATATAATTTTGGCGTTAGTAAACTATGTCTCCTTATAATAATATAGGTCGCGTTCACTTTACTGAGTGCATATAGATTTACCGTTTATCACAAAAGAGTATTTTTAGTGACGTGTATTTTTCATAACTAGTAACTCTAAATGTACGGGAAATTTCTTATAAACTTTTTTTCCGTTGAAAAGTCAAAATAAGTTGAAACACCTTAATATGGTCATCTTTGGTTTTAATATAAACGTTTGATTTTTTCAATGTTCCATTGGAAAGCCGAACAAATAAAAAACTACGATCTTCAATAGTTCTATGTTTAAAGGATTCTGTATTTTCGGATACTTCAAAAGTAATCAAAAGGTCCAATAAAATGTAATAATAAAGTAGGCGTAGTAAAATCCGAAAAAGAGGCTTACATACGATTACCACCCTGCCTGTTTATCTATCTTGACATAAACAAAAAAAATCCACAAAATTCCTTTTTTACTGATCGAGGTACTGCGCTGGAAATATTAAAAATTTTCCATCTGGTAGATGTTTGATGGACCATTTACGAGTTAATGGCGGTTATTTTAAGGAAGATTTAGCCTGACTTAATTTAACCAAAAAATGCAAGCGGCACAATTTTTGTAAATGCGCCTCGTGACGGCTAATCACTACCAAATATTTGACCTCTGGAAATCATATTAACATTATCTTAATTGATTTACTGTAATCAAACAAAATATTAATCGTGTTTCATTCCAGTTCAATAAATTCAGTTAAAAATTTGATTATCTATTAATAAACGGTTTCAGATACGGTTCGACGATAATTTAATTACCTATATTAATACCATATTTATTATGATAAAATATTGTAGCTTTACATTACAAAAACATATATTTCGACCTGGATATCCTCGTAGCGTTGAAGGAATTAATTCTCAACAGTTCTATTTTGGATAAAATTACACGACAAAGTCAATAGATGTCGCTACCTTGTCTGTTTTATTAATGTAACTTTTTTTTTTTCTTAATCAAAATACGAAATAATAAACCAACGAATCCATGGGCATTAACTAGTGAAACAAGTCAGTCATTTACCGCATTGCGTTGTCGTTAGTTAAAATTTACATAACTAGTTATGATATGTCCTATGAAGATTAATTATTAAAGTAAAAAATAAAGTTCAACTTAAACTAGGCCAGTTTTAAAACAAACATATATAAATCCTGTCTCTATATACAATTAATACTATAATGTGGATTCCAAAAGACAATCCTGGAAACTAAATTTCCGAAAAGGCAGAAGTCTTTCACGGAAAACGTAAACATTGCTTATAGATTACGCCGAGCGGTGATAAGCCTTCCGTGTTCGTCTGTTATCAGGATTAGGGGTTTGTGGGGGTTGGTGGGGGTTGGTGGGGGTTGTCGGGGGTTGCTAATTACTGCAACTATCCAACTTTAATTATAGCAAGCGGTAGGTTACCCCGGTAGCTGTTCTGCGTTTTAAATTGTTCGAGATTTCGAGCATTATGTAACATACGGCCATTTACATTTTAAAGTCTTGCAGCGAACCTTATATGACTTCACCCTTTGAAGTGTCTTGCCGAGCTTTATATGCGTGCACCCCTTCACTCACTCGTACGTTAGCTCACTATTTCCACGCAATAATCTATAACAAGCAAAAGCTACAAGCTGTTATCAAATATTTTGTTAAACGCTGACGGAGCGGTTTGGCATTTTGCATAATAATCATTTTTAGGCATAAAATACAGCTGACAGAAGCCCTATCGTGCATGCACGGTTGAGAGACGATTAAAAATAAGAAAAACAAGAATGAAATATTCGTTTGTTAAGCAGAGACGTTCAGTTGAAAATCGATATTCCGTTTGGAGCTCGATGTTTTTGGTGTTTTATTGTGTATTACATTAATTTTAATGTATTAATTAAAGATGGAGCATTGAAAACTTCATAATTATGATATTTTTAAGATAAAGTTAAACCTTTTAATCTCATCGAAGTTAAGAATTTACGTAAGTAATGTCTGACCATGATCTCTTTCAGCTTGTAAGTTCTACAAGTTCCCAAGCTCGCAAGCCAAACATTCTAAGGTCGATATATATAATGTCTCTCCACAAACCTCGTCCACACAAATCATAGACGTTTCTGAACACTTCCCTATTTTTTTATCACCCCTCGTTACCATCCAACGGTTACATGTAGAATCTAATTTGCCTTCCAATTTGAACGGAATTGAATTTCTCTACGCGTCAAATGTCTTATGAGATTCAAATTTTAGCGAAATTACCTTCTGCCTTTTTCGATTTCCTATCGATGTCATCAACGACAGCTTTATATAACTGTAAGAGAACCGCGGAACAATATTACCAAGAATGGTACAAACTTTGATAGCCAGTGAGCATTCATTAGATAATAAACTTTAAAGTAAGGTAGTAAGATTGAATTTCATAACATCGTTGTATCAAAGAGTAAAGTTGGACCTAAATCTCTTTCAACGTCAGCCAGTTTACTTTCAATAACGATTCACTTAGGCTATTGTTTCGCCAGACTAATAAATCTTAGCGTCTCCCATTCGCCAGAGGTCATAGTATATTAAACATGTCAAAAAGACTATTATTTTTACCATCGGATCATTTTAATGACAAACTTAAGAAATAACGAATATTTGATCGTATTGTATACTTTTATCACAGTTGCAAATATCTTCTATACAAAAAAACTCATATATCACAACACTACTTACTATTAAAATTGTCACAAACAGCGTAATGGAAAGTAAGTCTAGCAATCGATAACATTTTCCCTAGTGCAGTAAATCATTTCAGTAGGTAAAGAACTTGCGACAAATGTTCTTTCAACTGTGAATAGATAATGTTATTTGATACGACTCACATTCATTATTTATATAACTAGCTGGTTCACGATTGTTGTGTGACGAAATATGTTATATATTATTAAAGTTATAATGGGGACTAGGAATGAAAAATAATTTGTATCAGTAGCAAATCGTTTAGCAAAATGCTCGTACATAATATTTGACTTGATTTTTTTATTACGTTATTAAACTTAATTCACCATAACCGTAGCTCCGGTCGCATAAGAGCCCTAAATTGTCGGCTAGAGATTTATTAGTACTTTTCCGTGGCAGGTGATGTCGATTTGCCGCCGACTGCCGGTCGAAAGTGTTCCATAAATAATTCACAAACACTCGTAAATATTTTACATGTTGTCTAAAACAGGAGTCCAAAGAAAACTTTACATTTCATATATATATTTAACTTAATTATTAATTAATTTCTTTACGTCGGTTGTTGTGTATTTAGATAGTTTTAATCCTCATCTCCTCGTCTCGGTGTAATCCTAACTTATTAAGAACTTTGAATGTATTAACGTTAAATTATTAATGATAGTATCAAATTTCGAGTGCTCATCGTAGCGACTTAATACTGAATGATGTACCGATGATTGCTAACTTAGATTGTTTGTTCCACACATATAATTGAATTTGACTTTGAATATAACTTGAAGGATTATGATACCACTTCTGGGAGTTTTGCTCGGATGAACAGGAAACAGAAAGGATTATTCTGTCATCGACTCGCCGACAAATGTATATTGAATTCACGTACGGGAATTGAACTGAGATCTGTTAATCTAGTTACGACTCTCGAAAACGCTATGTGCTTTTATCATTTCAAGTGAATATTGCGATTTAATTTTATTATATTTGTCGTAAGAGTTTCGTCAGTTTTATAAGTTAGGAAACAGTATAAATAATAAATCAATGTCAATTATATTATGAGAAACGCTATGTATCGATTATAAATTTTCTTTGTAAACCGATGGCAAAAAGAAACCTTAACGCGTTACCTCGGTCGCGTCAAACTAGATTGACATTTAATCCAATATTAATTCTTTATTAAGTACGTCAAGTTTATTATTTTTCTATAGCAGACGTCGTATGAAAACTATATTATTTTTAACGAACACACGACCATGAATGAAGTCCTCAGCAACTCATTCACGGGATCAAAACACAAAACAAAGTCCCGTTTCCAATTTGCAGCGGATATGTGGATGTTCAATTTAAATGAAGGCCGTGTATGAGAAGGTTTTGCATTCAAAGACAGAACATAATTCCGAATGCGAGGGTAGTCGGGACTTGGTTCTACCCTCCGACTAATTATTACACAAACTGAGACCAGCGTTGGATTGCAATGGCGCCGTTCGCACCAATTTCCTGCAATACATGTTAAATGGCCGCCAATCGCCACCCCACCCACCTCACCCCTACACCCACTCGACAGGTTCTGTGATTGGTTCAAATATATTTTGTATATCAAATACGATATCATTCAGTAAAATAAAATATGAACGTTACATTTAATCTAGTTACAAAAAATCTACATCGTATTTTTGTAAGTCCCTAGGAATTAGGATGGAAAAAGTATTTTTCATTTATTTAAGAAAAATATTATTATAATTCTAATTGATATAATAATAAATTTTAACGAGTCTATTTTCTTTATAACAGTTCTGTAGTAAGTTTTCGTGATACTAAAATATCAGCTTCCATGCCGTAGCTTGATTGTTACAATGGAATTTCAATTCCAACTATTCACTAATTTGTCTAAATCTAATATAAGATGTTCCTCTTGGTAGTAACCACGGAGTAACAACTAGCTTTATTCAAATAACAAACAGCCGCTTGTAGACAAATCTGATTATATGCTCATAATTCGACGAAGTGCACTCCGCTACTTCCAACAGCGAATTATTACATAACTATTCGGAGTATTCCGTGTATGAATTTTATTAAATGTACATTAATTCGTTGAGAATCTACCCGCTGTATTAATACCGAGGTTATTGAATCGCCTCCATCACTAGCTGACCGCATATAGGTATCCGGTTCAATAAAGCGCGGGGAAACCTTCACCGGTTTTCAGTTTCCCAACACTATTTCAGCAGAAAATTTATTTCCGGCAGATATTGAATAGAAGTGCGCTCGCTTCTAGTCTATTAAAGTATTAAATTCTGATATATTTGATGGAAAATACATCGAAGCTTTATTGTGATGCGGGGCTTAACAAAACACAATGATATTATATATCATTAAATTGAATCTATTAAATGTACTGTTTTTGAGATAATTATATGTTTTAATACTCTAAAGTAAAATTACCTAAACATAATATGATTCAGTTATGTAGTAAAATTATTGAATATATACGTATTAATAGGGAAATATGTAGAGTAAAGTAAGAATCATTTATATTGCATCAAGAATGACTGGAACTTTCACATTGCAAAGAACAAAGAATGTCGCGTTTGTGGAAATCTATATAAATTTGAATGTGACACTGGATATTGTAATGTACTTCAGTACGTACTAATGTACTTCAGTACGTACTAATGTACTTCAGTATGTACTTCAGATACGATGTCTTTGGCTTTCAGTCACAAGTAAACATGCATAGAGCATTTCAATAATATTTTCATATAAATTCGTTCTTGAAACACAAATAGATAAAGGAAATTGCATGTCTCTGGAATAGAAACATCGTGTGCAGTAAAATGTGTTATAGGAAAGGTTAGTCAGATTTTAACTGATGGAGTGGGTTTAGGCTTTAATAAACTCGCTTCGACTGAAACATGAAGAAGTTTCTCCAATTCAATCAAGAACTGCCGATATATCACAACCACATCGAATTAGACAAGGATATGTTTGAAATTTTTGTTATTTTTATTTACACAATTCTTATTGAATTTTATAAGGACGTTGTTTGTTTAAAGCAAGATCTTGTTCAGAACGATGATACAATATCTGCGAATAGAATATTTGTTGTAACAATTTCAATAAAATAAGTTGTATCTTATTTTTTTTTTAACAAATACTACGTTGGATTTTGCAGATGACATTTCCATTTCAGTGGTAAATATTAGTTGAGGAGATCGAACAGAAGTTTATAAAGGATAGGACTCATATCATAGCATACGATAAAGAAAAAATCAAAAATCAATCTCGTAAGGAAATTAAAAGCATTATCGAAGGTGATTTACACTAAAGAACGTATAATGGATACGAGCCCTTGAATACCTATATCCTAAGATCAAATTAAAACAAGATTATTTATAACTAGCTCTCCGCCCGCAGCTTCGCCCGCGTGGAGTTCGGTTATATCGCGTTTCCAAGAGAACCTTTCAAAAGTCTTGGTTAAAAACTATCCTATGTTCTTTCTCAAGGTTAACTCTATAACTGTACCAAATCATTAAAATCAGTTCAGTGGTTTAGGCGTAACAGACAGACAGACAGAGTTACTTTCGCATTTATAATATTAGTAGGGATAACAGTCAAAATATAACTAAAGTAGAATGTTGTGTGATTTATTTTAAATGACATAATATAGCTCGGTACATAACAAAGTTCACGGGCGACTTGCCATCAAGTCATCTATGATGCAGTGGATATTTCTGCATCTTCAACAAGACATGTTCTCACGGACCGATGGATAAACGGGTCAACGCAATTTCGCTGTTTGGTCAACGTAGCTTCGATATATACTTATTAAAAATATTTATACAGAAATCTAACAAACATAGTATTAAAATGTCCAGTTTGGCGTCAGAGCGTCTTGCTTATTTATACCTATATTTCTAAACTTCGTCTTCAATTATAAATATTTTTTGACACACTTAATAAGCCTTATCTTACAAGCAAAATAATATTAAATATAATGCAATAAAAAATATCATTCAAGGTCGTATTGACACGTAAGCTAACTTCTGAAACGATTTCAGATAGCACATACAAAGCTATATTCCTATATTCCATAGGGACGAAGTTATCGATTCCATCACGTTGAGAAGTAGGTATATGGGCGTTAGCGTTGTCTAGATTTATGTACATTCAATATAAAAATCTTTGATAGAATATACGATGAATGGATTAAGGATTCGAACTAGCCGTTAATGGCCTTTGTTTGAATCTAGTTCTGCTTTTTTTTCCTTTGAAATTCCATTTCGCTCTTAATGGATATCTAATTAATGTGATCCAATGTACGTATATCGCTTTCATTGTGCTCGAATTGGAGCCAAGTTGAAAGATCACTGTAATAAATACAATTTGTTTTTACGTTAACATAATTAACTATGGTTCAAGAGGTTGTAAATGTATGTGTATTTATATAGTGTGTATTTATTTCCAGATGAGGTTGACGTAATAGGTTATACGTCGAACCAGAGTGACAGCGAGTCTCTAGTGTCGGGCCACAGCGGAGACAGCGGCGTCAGAGTCGGCTCGGGAAGACGTACGAGGCGCAAACACCGCGCACAGAGATATACTAGGGTTTAGGTTAGTACGAGCCATTTGAGTTTTTCTTTTTCTTTTGTTAATTAAAATTAGATTTAAGGTTGAAGATTTTAAGTCCATGAAGGTTTTATTAGAAAATAAAATTAGTTCAATTATTTAATTTGAAGCTTCCATTCCAGATATTTCAATTAATACAATCATATTTTGTATGTGAAAAAAGAAACTATTCGAATTATGATCGATTGATTTCTTATTGTTGTTTATATATATTTTAGATAATGTATACTCTAAATTTATGATATATTTGTTATGTTAGTGATATTTAATTGTTTAATTTCGTTCCAGGCGAGCGTTGGGCGGCGCGCGCCTCCGCGTCACACAGCAGGCGGATAGTAGGACATTTTGTTAATACTGTATTGATGGACGGTCGTGTTCTAAGTGAGGGACTCAAGTTTACAGTCCCGAGTGCAAGGAAACTGCGCCCGCGCCGCAAACACTCGCCTCACGAACCGAGTACAAAATTGCCAAAAAAAAAATTATATATTTCCTCTTCTACGCTTTAGACTCGTTCGGTGTACATCACAAGGGGTAACGCCCCCCCCCCCTTATCATTTTAAATGTTTTCTTTCATCACTCAATATTTATGCTTCATCGGATCCGTTCAAATACTTTTAGGTCCCTATTGTTAAATTTCCATTAAACGCCGAGGGCGAATGTTGTACAGATATCAATATTATATTTTGTATATAATTTTATTTTTATTTTTATTTTATTTTTTTCTTGTAAAAATTAATCAAATAGATTTAGATCTGGGCGTGTCTAACGACCGCTTCGAAATTATACTTATATTATTTAATTCGATAACCATTCTATGGTGACACTTTAAAAATGTTTAAGTTGTAAAACAATGTTAACAAAACGGTATCGCTAGCGGCTTCAATGTCGCTGGCCGTACCTTCTGTTAGAATAACGCAAACTCAATCGATGTATACGCTGAATAAAATATAATAAATAATAATAAAAAAAACCTATTAACACATTCGGTCAGAGTCCAGTCCAATACAGTTTAAAAATACTATCTATTAAAAACAAATTTATTAAATTGTGAATATTATAAGATGGCGTAAACATCGGCGGAGTGTGAACCACGCGTACGCTGACTAACATCGTATTGTTAAGTATTAATGAATGTTTTTGATCTCACTACGGCCCGCGAGCACTCGACCGTTACAACTCAAGGCCAGTCACTCGGCGGTTTACATCTGCTTCAAGTAACAACCACCAGAGGTCGCCTGCTCGCGCGGCCTTATATATACGCCGACGATCACATACCAAAAATAATATATATTTAACGAGAACCGGACAATACATACCTTGTCGACGACGCTAGCGGACATCTAGAGGAATACACGATATATTTTTGTTATGAACTATTGTATTAATAAATTGTTGATTCATTTTACGATGTATGTTTGGATGCACTCGGAGGCCGCCGGCACTTTATCTCAACGGCGGCCGCGCTGAATGTGTTTCTCATTATTTGGTTTCATTAATTTTGTAAATTGTTTTAGGTATGTTATTATAAGTATAGTTGTAAATGTATGATTATTGAAATGACAGTCTGATCTCTTAAGATAATGCGTCACGACATCGCGATGTTCGTTTGAACGCTGCCGCGTTTTCAACTCGCGCCATTTTGACCGTTCGTTTGACACTGACATTTGTATTGCCCTGTTTTATATTTTTCAGAGATTTATTGTACAATTTTCACTTGTTATGATTATTTATTACTGAAACTTTTGTAAATTATTTTTATAAGTAAAATACTCGGTTTTATTTATTTATCGGTTTCGAAGATTTCTAGTCGGAAAGATATATATTTAAAAAAAATTGTATACAACGGTATCATTTCGGCACGGTTTTCTTTAAGGATTTGATGTGCCCTACGCTTGTTTTGATCACTTATAAGGAAGCTCATGAGTCATGGCGCTAACTCCGTTACAGAATACTATGGCCAGTATCAAATACCACGACGGTCGTGCAATCACTAGGGTTAAATAAAACAGCCTTAGCGGCGTTATATCCTGCCTCAGCATATTAAACATTGGTTTTTATTTAATGTATCACAAATTATATTTTATTTATTATAGGACAGTGCTTTATCGATTCTTCGTTGGAACGTACCTACCGGTGTTTTGCTTTCGCATATCTGTCGACAATACTTAAAGCCCGACCATATCCTTAGCGGTGTATGCATCGCTCATGTTTTTTATTTACGACCGAGTGTACAAGGGTAGAAGCGGCGACGGGACGCTTAAAGAGTACAAATTCTGTATAAGCCCCTACTTGAGTGTTAATTCTAAACATTAATTTTAATCACGAAACAGGGAGAAGGTATCGTCAGAGTAGGAAGCTAGTATTTAAGCGCGCGGGCGACAGTCGTCTGGGTTGCAGCTCTGCCTTTGGTGTTGTCTCTTCCTTAACTAAATTATCTGTATCCTATTGCTACAGTGACTTTGTTTTGCGATATCTTCCGTCTTCTCTTCTCGTAGATATACCGGGCGCGTAGAGCGTCTTGTTATACAGGTGTATCACTGTAACGATAGGGTATTAGAGGCGGTGCGTCGCAATGTACGCGCGCGCATCTCATTAGATAAGAAAGTGTTATTAGAAACAAATTGCAATAAACAATAAACAGCCGTCCGCCCTCTGCCGCCGCTCCGCGACCAACCCAACTTAGTCGTTGTAAATTTTTAGTCCGGCGTTGTATGACACTGATTGTAAATATTTGGAGCAAATTTTTTATACAAAATTCATAGATATATTCTTGGACCAAGTTGACGGAGGAGCGGCGGTAGTCGCCGGGGCCTGCGCCCGTCACCATCAGTGTTTCCGAACGCATCGCCGTTTTACGTCAAACTGACAGACGTCAGACGTGTACGATGCTTCAAGGAATTAACTGACGTTGACAGCGCGCATTGTTCGTCGTCTGATAGTAGAGGCAAACGTTAGGTACTATTGTGACTACTGCTAATGTGAATTGGCAGCATTATTCTATGTAATTGACGAAAAGCACATATAATTTACTATATGTAAAAAAAGTTATAGAATTAATTTAATAAAATTATAAATAAAAATATGTGGTATTATTATTAACCCTTGTGACATTCTTGTATGGTAATGCCAGAAAAAATTGACATTTTATTTCCACTATGAGGATTGTCAAATGAAATAATTATCTTAAAACCCAGTTTAAGTATCCCAACCAACCAACATGTACTTTTTAAGTAAAATTAAATAAGGTTCCAGAGGTTATGGAGGTCCTATCGGACATTTTTTGTCATATTTCTGATATGAAATTCAAATAAATATTAATTGTAAAATACAAAACGTTAGTAACCATCACAAGTATTCTAGGTACTGTTTCAGACTAGGTTTTTAATGTTCAGCGTTGCTTCAAGTAACAGCCTATAAATTAACTGAAACCATTTCATATTTATAGCTTTTAATTACAAGGTATTACTTAAATGTTGCTATTACATAGTTACAATGGTTCAATATTATAATTAATTATAATCAGTCATAAAAATATTTCTTTGGGTTATAGTATATTATAATTAATAATTATTACGGCACGGATGACGCCACTCGTAACACAATCGAATGATTCTAATACAAAAAAAAACTTTTCATTCACTACAAAACATTTTTAAATTTTAATATATAAAGGATAATATTATTTTCAATAGCAGAGTATTTACAAATATGCCTTAATAGTTGAAGCCTTCCATATATGACTATGCGATTTTATTTCTCGAGCTGTTAGCTAGTGGCATGTACACCATATACATATATAAGCACTGTTTAACCTTCCGATACAACAACTAAACCTATGTCGATTAATACTTACTTGCATACTTTTATAGGCCAATGCAGATGCCTCTAAAAATGATGAAAAGTGAAAATAAATTATAGTAGAATGTAACCCATTTTAAAAGGAGGGGAATATTTTAAAAATTAAGACAAAAATAATTTACGGGCGATCTGAGGTCGGGAAGGGTACGGGCGTTGGTATTTAAGGGGTTTTTCGAAAATGGGTTTCTCGAAATCCGGAAAAACTAAGAGTCCTAATGAAAAATGTTATATGGCAAAGTTGTAGGTAATAAAAAGATCTAAAACTTTTGTATTTACACTTTTTTCACATAACCTGAACACTTATATTTATTTCTTCACCATCGGAAAATAGAGATTTCAACGAACAGAAAACATACCAAATTTTTGAAAATAGCTAATATTTTGACGGGTGATTTTTCGATTGAAAATGAGGCTGATTTTTCAGTATTTATTCAAAATAAGCTGAAAAAATAAATATTTCTAATCAAATAAATTACAGTGCATTTGTAACATCAAAAGGAAAGTTTTCACCAAATTTCGTGACAAAATTTGTTTTTTGTAAGAGATAAAAAAAAAAAACTTGGTTTTTCGAATTTATCACATAAATTTTCAGGTTATGTGAAAAAAATGTTAGTACAAAAGTTTTAGATCTTTTTATTACCTACAACTTTGCCATATAATATTTTTCCGTAGCACTTTAGTTTTGCCGGAAATCGAGAAAACCCATTTTTTACCCTTAAATACCCATCCTCATACCCTTCCCGACGTCAGATCGCCCGTAAATTATTTTTCCTTTAAATTTTATAATATTCCCCTCCTTCTCTAATGAGTTTCATTCTACTATACTTTAATTATGTTTTAAAAGTTATCGGCACTGGTCTATACGTTATGAATGATACATTATGTAATACGAATGTTTACATATATTTAATGTCATTAGATTCATGGTTTGGTAAAATTGCTAAAAGTGCTATCTATCAACGTAAGCAGAAACATGTTTGAGTGCCCGCTCCCAGTGGCTAACGCCGCTATCGAGCGAAAGCGGCGTTAGCACAACAATTTGATGCATACTCCCCATACAAATATTGTCAAGGACGATCTAAAAAACTCGTGTTGTATGCATTTGCATGTGTATGTGCAAAAAATAGGCATGTATTAGTGTTCGAGGCACTGCTTCCTTAATCCTATTCGTTTTAAAAGTCATAGAAACTGAGTTGATTGTCTTATGAAAAGGGACTATTTAATTTGTTAGTATAACGTTCAAATTCTTTTTCGCTATTTTGTTATTGTTTTTATAAGCGAATAGGTTTTAATTAACGAATTATGGAAAATTATTGCTGGGAGCTCTTTGCGTGTGATGTAATTTTAAAGAAATTTATAACGAGTACATTTTAATGTTGTCCTTTGTTGATAAATTTAAAATAATTAGAAAAAAAATGTGCATGGAGTTCCTCCGAACAAAGAAAGTGGAAACTTCGCAGCGTGAAATAAATAGAAAGAGGTAGTAGTCATTTTTAATGAACTCAAATCGTTTCTTTAAGACAAACTTTATTAACATTACTTACAATTTACAATTGATCGCAATAATTCTGAAAAAAATTAAATATATACTTAGAAATTGTGCTAGAATTTTATATACTTTGTGTTTAAAAAACAGATTACCTTTGTAATTAAATGACATTAAAATTAAGTCAATTCTTATCCTGTATATTCATGTTCTTCTAAGTGACAACCTAGTCTATTATTATTACAAGACAGTTTTATATCATTGATAAAGCGATTAAAAGTGTGGAGTACCACACAGTACTCAAGATTATAATCCGTCCAACAAATAAAAACGTTTAAAATGTTAAAATATTCCACGATTCCAGTGCAAATAACGCGATAGAATAAATAAAACACACTATAAATCACAATAAATGATACCCACACTAACACACTTTAATTCAGGTTAAAATAAAACAATTATTAGTTTAATTATTTAATTCCCATAGAACGTATTAACATCGACCAGCGATGTACAAACAAAATTGAAAACAAAGATCAAAACAGAAAATAATATCAAAATAATTATAGCATTTTTCTATTTCACTTGATTCATTCATACAATATCAGTTTTAGACAAATACTGATTTTGTCTCCCAAAATACAAATGAATAAAACAAGATAAAATTTCACCCGCCAAAAATGATGGCACAAATGACATAATTCTAATTACTAACACCTAGATAAAAAACTGAAACAGATTATACAATATTAACGAATTATTCTTTACAAACTTATCCTATTTTGTGCTTTGAACATCTACTTATTAGGTTAACGAATATAAGTTAAGTTATATTTTTAGTTAATTTTTATTATAACAATTAAAATAATAATAAAACTATCTAATAAAAAACAAATTAAGTTTTAACATTTCAAAACAGATTTGACTATCAAGTTACAACATTAATCTAGACTTTGGTCAATTTAAAGATATTAAAAAAAAAATTAAAAAGTAATATAATGAGAAAATAATATTAAAGTTTAATTTTGATTATTATCCACAACAATGTAAAATATAAAAATTTAAATTACATATAATCCTCTGATATTAAACTTAATGATATAAGAAATTTAAAATTGATATATTTTACATATAAATAATATATTTTATATACAAATTAAATATAAATTACCATAGACTTGTAAATAACAACATTATTTAAGGCGAAGGTGCATCACTGCCTTACAGATAAACTAAATATTAAGGGCAAACATAGCTAAGATTTTGATTTAACATTTTTAATCAAAAATATAACCCTAAATAACTAAGTACTAAATAATACTAAAATGAGCATTCGGTTTAATTTTATTTCGGTTATTTGTTAATTGTTCGGTTATTTGGTTATTTTATTAACTACATTTTTATGACTATCCACTTAACATAAGCACTACGTTAAAATACTCTTAGGAGAAATTCAATTCCATTCTGATGCTAGACTAATTTATTTACTAATTTAATATCAACGATTTAAATCTACAGCGTTTTAAATGATAATATTTTTTAATCAAACTTAATTGAAATATTAAAAGAACAATAAGTTTTTCATCATGTACTTAGTATTATAATGACTTGGTAACATTTTGGTAAGTCATTACCTTAAGTTAATGCTGACAGGTATTTGAGTCTAACATTCTTTGGTAATAATCAGGTATTTTTTTTCTGGAATATTTTTCCAAATTTTATTTTGGTCACATTCAGAAGCATTACTAAATAAATAAGTACTATAAAGTTTGTAAGAATGTTTAGACATTTGATTCAAATCAAACAAATAAAAAAATATGATTAAAATACACTTTTCATAATGATTAAATTAATTTCATGAAAAAATTATAACAATGAAGTTTTAAATTTAAATAGAAAATATTAAATGAAAAATATAAAGACATTAGCAAGATTGAACCTGCAACCAACGGTATATCAAATTAAAGTATTAATAGGAAAAGTTACGTGTTGAAGAATTTTTCAATCTATATTTTCTATTTATATTTTAATTTAAATAACTCAAATGTATATAGTTTGGTTATCAACCAATTCATAATATATAAGATATACATATATATAAAATATATAATTGACATAGATACTTCAAATATATATATGTAATGAATTTCATTTATTAATTAATAAGATACATTTTTTTATGTATTCCCGACTATCGAAGCCAAAGCAACTATATATATCTTTACTAAATTTAAATAACACTATGAAATTAACTAATAGCATCTTTAGAGGAGATTTACAAAGATAAATACATAGGATAAATAAGGTAGGATAATTATTGAATAATTATATATATATACATAATATACAAAGAATGATATATTTACCTAATATTTGACATAATTGATTAGATAAGAAAAATAATTATTTCTTAAAGAATATTTGATAAGAACCTAACAAATAAATTCTTTACTTAGTGTATACTAGAAGCTGTAATAGCTTAAGGTAAATGAAAAGCATACTCATTCTTAACTAGCCATTGCTTATCATGATCTGTAATCATTGAAACAAGAATCCAACAATTCTGTATTGCAAGAATCCAACAATCATTTACATCATGAATCCAAAAATCCTGTTTTTAAACAATCCAATATCCTTTCATTGCCGTAATCCAGCGATCTCAAATTGCAAGAATCCAACAATCATATATTGCAAGAATCCAACAATCCGTCATAGCAAGACTCCAACATCTCTCAAAGTATTGCTAAAAGCAAGAATAATGCAACACCAGTAGTTTTTATATATATAATGTTACTTATCATTCTGTACAAGTTGGATGCTGTCGTCTCCTCTCCTGTTAGTTCGTCTCAAAGGTTTAGGGTGTTGTAACATTGTGAATCTCTCCGACTGCTGTGATGGCTTCTTACTGAGAGCGATCCGAAGGTGACTTTCACCTGGAAATATATTAACATGATCTGATTAGGACAATATTTTTTATAGAACATATTCTTTTTCTTCTACGTGGCAATTTCCCAGCTTAAGCCAGGGTCTGCCTTAAATGTTGTAAAGAGTTTTGGCTAATTGCTTTTACAACCTTTTTGGGAATTTTTCATATTACATATATCTATGACAAAGGAGATCATTTTTTTGGGTCTTTTCTGAAAGTGCCGGCCAACAAAAAAATTGGTACATATTCATAGAACTAACCATTTGGATCAATAGTTAATATGGATCCAAGTTGTAGGATCCAAGATATAGAAGTTATACAAGTTCTATGATTCATCATTTCCATACATTTATTTTTCTGATAGTGCCAGGAAACATAAAATAATGATTGATATTGCTAGATTTAAGCTTCTCAAGCAAATCATTATAGCGAGAAAGCCATAATCTGTTCTGTTGTACATGTCAGAAACCTGTCATTTTTATGTAATAGCAACGACTAGCTATTCCACAGTATTATTGCTCATGCCCAATAGAAAAACGGACAATAGGGTGTTGTTCACACACCATGACTTTCGTGTGTTATATGGGTTTCGCACGGTATGACAACATACGTGTACCAGCACAAGGCCTGGAAGATGAAATCATAACATTAAATGATGTATATTTAGAAGACTATAATTGTGATGGTTTTTGTAATAAAAAAATAGTTTTACTTATATTATCCTAAAATATTTTTTTGAGTTATACATAAAATGCTATATAACATAACAATAACACCCCGATATACATATTAGTTAAGACAAATAATAAAACCAACAAGAAACAAATTGGGTTGGATGCGTTCAGATACTGGGCGAAACAACGTCTGTCGGGTTCGCTAGTCCTACTAATATTATAATTGCGAAAGTTTGTGAGTGTGTGTGTATGTTTGTTACTTCTTCACGCTCAAACGGCTGAACCGATTTTGATAAAATTTTGTATACAGGAAGCTGACTTCCAGGAATAACACATAGGCTACTTTACATCCCGGAAATCTCGGAAACCCCGGAAATCCGCGGGTAACACCGCGGGGCGCAGCTAGTTTTACATAAAAATAACAAGTTTCTGACATGTACAAGAGAACAGATTATGGCTTTCTCGCTATAATGATTTGCTTGAGAAGCTTAACTCTAGCAATATCAATCATTATTTTATGTTTCTGGCACTATCAGAAAAATAAATGTACGAAAATGATGAATCATAGAACTTGTATAACTTATATATCTTGGATCCTACAACTTGGATCCATATTAACTATTGCTCCAAATGGTTAGTTCTAAGAATATGTACCATTTTTTTTTTGGCCGGCACTTTCAGAAAAGACCCAAAAATGTATGAAACCTGAATGATCTCCTTTAGAGTTTATATATGTTACATATAGGTCGGGGTGCCCTAGTGGTTAGAGGCCCGACTCTCGTGAATGAGGGCACGGGTTCGATCCTGGCAAGTACCAATATGATTGTTCGGAGTCATATGTACTTTCAAAGAGTATTTAGATATCACTGACAGATGAAGGAAATCTGGACTTATAATTTCAAATTATAAGTTTGAAATCACCAACACATTTTGAGCAAGCTAGTGATTAAATCTCTAACCTTCTCCATGTGAGAAGAAGCCTTTGCTCAGAAAAGGACTCTGATAGGCTGATGATGATGTTACAGCAAAATTATTTTCATTATGAATACAAGAAAGGCTTTTGAATGTTTAATATTACTTATTTTCCTATATTGTGATTATATTAAGTTATATATTATTTACCTGGTAGTGATAAAGGTCTACCACAAATGGTTACATCATGAGATCTCGGTGAAACCGAGCGTGATGACCTCGGCCGACTCGAAGTAGGTTTTATGTCATCCTTATTACGATGTGGGGAACGTTCCTGATTATGAGTAATATATTAATTATACAGACAATATAGTGCAATAAATTATCAATTAAAATCAAAACAAAATCTATTAACAATAGTGCAATTTGATAACTGTTATGAATTGCAAGATAGCAATATTATTATCTATCACACATGAAAAGCGGTGAAAACATGCAATATTTATTTTATTAAGAAAATATTATATTATTAGTTAAATATACACTAACTACAGCAATGTATAAAGTTAGTAACCTGCGGTACACTATAAGTGACTGCGTCGGTGAAGTCAAATGCGCTTGCCGCTCGATATGAGATGTTATCTTGAAGATAATTGTTAGTATTATTAATAGTACAAATTATATGTTTTAGTTTGAGTTTAAGTAGAGAAAATGAGTTTAATGCACAACTTATTATTCATTATATATGCCTATACTTCATTTTTTTCTTTACATTTATTACAGTATTATATCAAAAGTATACATTTAAACTTCATATTGACTTATTTATAGTGAAGTATATGATTTTAATGCACATATAACCTTTGTTATATATTTTAGTAGTAAGCAGTGGTAAGTTATAAAGTAATTTAAGTATTTTAATACCGTGAGGCCAGCAACTCGTCGGTGGTGGTGATCTTATCAAATGTTCGTGAACTTCTTTAAGAGTGATGGGATCGTCTTCTACAAAGTCTAATGAAGTACTTCCGAACTCCTGGAAAATGATTACAAAATCTTCAATATCATACATAATAAATATTATTATATAGTTTATGTACACCATGAGTGGTTTGAAGAGTTTTTTTTTGTTTGCTATACTTTGAATTTTACTGTGAAGATTCTATCTTATATTAGTGAGGGTTAATAACAAAACTGATATATAAATTGATAAAGAACAATAAAACTATGCATTTAATTTTTCATATTTATGTCAGGAATACACATTAATTTTACATAAAAATACATGTATTCCCATTCACAGATAAATTAAGAACTTCTATATGCTATAAATAAGTTAATATTTGTATTATTTTATTGTTAATATAATTAAAAACATATATTTACCTGTGACATTAATATAGTGTCGTCAGACTCACAGGCCTCTGCATGACTTTCTATTAAACTCTCTCGACTAGCCATTACTTGCTGGAATGATTGCATAAACAAACATTATTTAATATCGTTATGTTTGCTCATGAATAATTATGAACGTAATTTCACCTGTAAATAAGGGTTGTCCTGGCGAGATAATCTGAGGGCTTCCATGTCTTGTGCGATGTTCCTGGTGCGGCCAGGAGTTAATAAGACAGCGGGTGATCCGCCCAAGGTATGCGGCATGACTGAAAACAATCAGTCAGTTTAAACGAGAATTCACTTATTTATATAATATATATATTAGTGAATGCGCTTTTAATTGCAGTAAAACCTATTCAACTTACCAGAGAGAGAATCGTTACTGGCCTGCATACTCCTCGAAATGATTATTGATGTATGGATAAATGAAACTCATAAAATATCCATAGAATATGTTTTATATTATTTTGTGTAACTGCACGTTATATCGCTCATATTATAATATTATTATTTTAGTGTATTTTTATTTACGACTAGTTATTTTGTGATATTAATCTTAACAATATTCAGTATTAACTAAGTAGGTATGCGAAAACTAATTAGGTAGGTACCGTGACTGCTTTTGACAGCTGACACCTGACAGCTTTCATCAAATTAAAATTCATAGATAATAATTTATTCCAGGAATTTACCTATTGACTAGTAATGATAATTATTCCGTATTTGACTTTACTATATTTTATTGTAAAAAATGCATACACTATACTTTTGAAAACTACTATAGTGTCAAAAAAAACATTTCCAAGGAAAAACATCAGGATGCGCGATTAGTCGAAGCATTTAAGCCATTGAGGTTTGTGGACCTTATTGCTCTCAACAGCTGTGATATCTATGTTAAAACAACTCAATAATTTTTACTAATCAGTAGGGCCCGGATTAATATGTAGATACATATTTTTAATTTACGCGATTTTCGGTCTAGAATATGTTTTTTACATGAATTGACATATTTAGACTGTGAAAAACCAACTTTTATTTTCCATATTTTTCCATATTTTACCACATTTCAAAGTTAAGTCCATATTTTACAAGAAAATGTCACAATCATCCATATATTCACAAAAATACATAAAATTTACGTTCCCGCCACTAATGTTTTGGATAAAAATAAACGATTTAATACGATAAAAAAATTAACAAAATTGTGTGCGAAAGTTTCGAAGGCTGTAAACATGGCTTACACAATTACTGAATTAAGCATGTTGAAGTATGCATCCATCACGTCATGTGACTTGAGATGAGACCAATCAGCAGATGTAATGCTATACGTCGACCAAATGGTCAGTTTTTATTTTGATAATTTAAAGAAGCACGTCATTGTGTATTTTACACGTAACCAATTTGATAAGGCTAGTGTAATGGAAGTTGAATAAAACTGTTATTTTTTGTTGAAATAAAATTTCGCTACTTTTTTCATCGTTTTTTAAATGTCACTTAAAAGAGTAAGAGCCCGGAGCCGCCAGACGTTACTTATTTTCTGAGTAACGAAAATATCGTATAGAGTAGTGTTAGGGTATATTCTGAAGGTATGCATACCTGTTAGCTTGGGCCGGCGGCGGCCAATTCACAGGTACCAGGTGCAAGAGGTACATAAAATATTGGTCACTTTTCTTAAATTCTGAGAGCTGATTTTTATATATATTTTAAAAAATTGTATTAAAATTTTAAAATTAATATTGCCAGAACGTTTTCGTGGGCGGTAATTTCCGCCAGACGCTTTAAAGTTTGAATTATTTCTTGAATGTTCAACATGTTTATTTAGTTATTTTATGCTCTTAAATAGTTATCATAATGAGTGATAAATTTTTTATATATGATCAATTATTATCGAATGATGATGTTGTAGAAGTTAGCTTGGTCTACAAACATTAAAAAATGCTAGTGTCTCTAGAGGTGATGGTAATATTGGATATTTAAATACTGTAAATTCCGTGAATGTACATAGTAATTGCCGTAAAAATTATACAAACAATTTGAGTATTGCGGCTCATAAACGACGCCAAGAAGAACCGAGTACATCAATATCTCCGCGTAAAAAAAGAATCAGCGCTTTCGATTTCAAAAAATTATGTTTGTTTTGTGGAGAGGAAGCGAATGAAGTGATTGAAAAAAAAAGAAAAAAATACAGACGCGTTATTAGAGAAGTGAGTACTGTTACATTTTTTGTAGACAATTTTATGAGGAACAATTTTTATAATGACCTCTATTGACGTCCGAGCAATAGGTCGCGAAATATTTGCAAAAAACTAATTTTCGTGACCTTTTGACCTCTGTAATTTTTTTAGCCGACACGATATCGATGTCGATTTTTCACAACTTCATAATAACGCCGTAATAAAGGTGTATACAAAAATTCAGCTCACTAGAAATTTTTCCCCAGATTGGGGTATAAAATACCTAAAATGACTGGACTAGTGGTAAGTTGCTCAAATCAAAGTTTTTTATATTTTTTCCGGATAAACTCTTCATTTATATCAGAAGCAGTATAGGTGATGATAAACTATTGAAGTCTTGCAGCATCTACATCAATGACTCCGGCCATGATATAAACATTGCAAAATAAGGTTTTGGATGGTATTGAAGGTTTCTTCTTCAAGTTCACTATTACTACTGAATAACTCCAATTCGCCAAATCTGGTAAATGCTTTTTGGTACTCTTCATTTTTTCGAAGAATACTGAATGGCTTTTGTTTACCTTTCTTAAAAAAAAGCAGGATTGTAATCACAGCAAGTGATCGCATGAAAGTCTAGTAAACTTTGAGATAAAGACGGTCCTAATTTCTCGAAAATAATGATGTCATGCATGCTTATGGCGAGATTTTAAATATGTGTGGGAGATATTTGGCCCCTAGAATTATTCTGGCTGCTATGCAGCGTTGCAATTGCAAAAATGGTTGTGGTTCCCGCTGTGGATGCAGAAAATCAGGGCTACTATGTTCTTTAGCTGGTGGTCAGTACAATGGACAAGCTTGCCTGAACGCTTCACTATATCCAAGTAATCCCGATGAAGAAAGCGCATACGATCTTGAAATTAAGGAAGGTTTGGAGATGAATATGACCGATAATGAGAATGACGACAATGAATTGAACGTTTTCGAGCGACAACAAGAAGACGACGAAGAAGATGAAGATAACTAGCATCTACTTATTTACAATTTTATTATAATTAAAACCAATAAAAATTCTTTTAATATTTAAACTGACATTTGTTACGGGTAAAAATATCATTTAAGCAATAGAAAGCGAGATATTCGCGAAAAACCAATTTTTATGACCTTTGACCGTCAATATCTTAAGACGCGGGCATGATATCATTTGTGACTTTTGAGACAACATTTAGAACGACAAAACAAAGGTTTATACCAATTTACAGCTTATTATCTTTCATTCCGAGGTTGACCCCTTTTTTCACCTAATATGACTGGGCTAAATAGGTACTGCAGGCAAAACGGACCCTGCGGGTAAAACGGACCGGCTTGATAACTTTAAAACTAGAAGCGCCATCGGAAAGTGAGTACCATTACTAATAGATATCCACCTTCCCGCTCTTGGTGTGTCGGTGAGCCTGTCATGTGTGAGGAGGAAATTTTAGCGCAGTAAGTTTTTTTTTGTTGTTTCGATGTAAAAAGTGGCATTTTTGACTAGCCTGCGATTTTGTTCTATTCTGTATATCCAATATTATAAATTATCATAGTTAATTACATTATATTGACCTTTTTATCGTGTCAACAGAATCGAAAATTCGACAAATTTATGACCTAAAAATTTATTTTTGATTTAAATGTTGCCAAAGGGCAAAACGGTCCGGACAAAATGGGACACCGGCTCTCTTTGCCCTCAAAGTAACAGTGCCAGATTTGTCACCAATGGACACATTGTACTTGTGCAGGCGTAGAGGATAATGATGCGGACACTATATTTATATACGATAACTGTTCTCCGGACTAAAGTATAAAATTTTGTACAGGCCCATTTTGCCCGTATATGTGGGCAAAACGGACCAAAGTGAAGGTTTTGGAAATCATTCATTATCTTTCAACCGTGTGATTTAATTAAAGTCTGATTATGAAAATATGTAGACTGATTAGTAGTAAGCTTGTTCTTATAAAAGTTTCTAAAATAAACCTATAACTTGTTGATTTAAATGAGTATTTCCTTAAGTGTCCCGTTTTGTCTGCAGTTCCCCTATATAAGCTGATATTTTTTCCAGCAGAATTAATATCGAACCAGGCTTGTCAATAAAAATCTGTGTGAAAAAATTAATGGCAATAAAACTTTTCTTTCCTTCACCAACTCTATTCTCAACAACCTTCACATAGAGAAGGACCAATTTTTTAGAACGTTTACGAATAACTTAATAAAACAATGCCAAAAGCCCTATTTACATAACGTGTATGCCTAGTTTTCCTAGAACTCAAAATTTTAAAGAAAGAAGCTTTGAAAAGAAGCAATGTACACAAAGACGGTAAATTTCAACAAATTTCTTATAAAACACTAGTAAGACATTAAATTTGACAAAAAAAAACTAAATCCAAGTATGTACTGGCAACTCACTATAGTCTGAATGATAAAATTTTTAAATAGAAACCCAACTGCTCTTAAACATGTGGATAGCAACAAAAACACTAAGGAAAATTAATTCGAAATAATATATGAGTAATGCTATCTAATTAACATTCTAGTCCTATAACAAGTATGTATTAACGAGAAGCACATGTTTGTAATTCGTATTAATATTAAATACCTCATTATATTACGACTCTGAATACCAAACATCTAACAAATATAAGAATAACTTCTGGTAAATATTTTCAACTGTGAAATTATTACAACTTCCTTTAAACATTATTTTCAGTAAATTTTAAAATCAAAACTTCAATAAATTCAGTTTCTTATATAACAAAATTTCTGTGGTCAATTGCGTGCACACATTTAGGGTAGAGAGTAAGCAGAATGATTATAAAAAAAACAATTTTCATCATAATTTCCTCCTCTAAAACATTGATAATAATGATATCTAAGACTTTTTTGAGTATTCATTTAAATGCAACTAATAATTTCGGATAACAATTATACCAAGTCGAGAATTTAATGTCATTTTAAATGTCTATTAACATTTGTATTGTTAAAAGTATGTAAGTAAGAATTAAACAATATAGGTTTACTTGTTATATGGGTAGGGTATGCAGTGGTTATTTACATCTATGGTGTATAAATGATAATAAAACGCTTATTATTAATATGGTATATGAATTTATTTAATGTGAACAAAGGCACGTATGTGTCGGCCCGCTGATGGGTCAATGCATCAACAATCTTCTTGTAAATAATATCTTTATCTACCAATTTATCCAAGCGAATACATCTACAATCGAGACAGCTGTCAATAGTTATATAAAAATCGCGTACAGTGCTAATATTTATAACGTTCATGTTGAAAAAAATTTAAAATTACAGTTTTTTATTAAATATATGTGATTATTATATCATAATTCGTTTATATTTCGTTGTCAGTGAGTACAAACTGAACGGCGCTACCGTAGTCCAAGATTCTATTCTTGACTTCCTTCAACTTAGCTATGTAGTGTTTATGTATCTTAGTGTTCGTCCTCGTGTAACGTAGGGCCGTTATCATTTTATCCAAAGTGTAATGCAGCCACAGTATATTTGTGTATGGCTCGAAATTCTTCCAATCATTACTGTAACAAATTATAATAATATCATTAAAATAATCTTTTGTAATTATATACACATGAAAATATGGTTATACTAGCTTTTGCTCGCGACTTCGCCGGCGTTACTTTTAAAATTAGAAATTTATAGCTGACCGGGAGAACTGTTTTCTCCTTAAAGTCAGTAAAAATAATAAATCGAATGCTTGAAAAATATGTTCTTTTCGTGATTCTAAGCTATCATTCTGCCAATTTTCAGACAAATCCCAACAGCTCTTCTTTAGTTATAAATAATGTAACAAACACGACTTTCTTTTATATATAAAGTTATATATGTATATTCAACCCTTGTTAAAAGTAGCGTGCTTACTTAACCGTCAGTACAGCCAAGCTTATTCGCTACACATTTCACGCTTAATCAAATAAATTATAGGCACTATTATTATCAAATATAATAATATTAATAATTCAATCTTCTTCTACCTAGCAATTTCCCAGTTTTAGCCAGGGTCTGCCTTACATGTTTGAATAGTTTAGGCTAATTGTTTTTACGACCGGCCGCCTGCCTGACATCAATCAAGCCTCTTTAGGAATGCATTAATCAGTGATGTCTAAATACTCTTAGAAAGTACATATGATTCGGAAAAATCACATTGGTACTTGCCAGGATCGAACCCGCGCTCTCATGCATTCGAGGCGGGATTTAACCACTAGGCCACCACTGACATAGTTGATGTACTATAATAATAATAATTTAATATATGTATATATACCCAAGCTTGTCCCTCATGAGTCTATACACGGTGAACTGATAGTCTCCTAGGGCTTCGAACAAGGCCTCGTCCTGAGCGAGGTCCGCGTATAGGGCTCCACGGCCCACGGAGGCCCGCGAGAGGGAGTAGTCGATGATTGAGGCCTTCACTCCAGAAGTGGGGAGGGTGAAGGCTCGACCGCGGACTACGAAACACGAACTCTGGAATAGTAATAAATTACTTCAGTATGTAGTTAAATAATAATATGTGGTAATATTTTAATAATTTATATTGGTATATATAAAAAAAAAATAAAATAAATATACCGATAGAGTGACATTTAAGATATTCGCGAGCATTTGTTTAAATGAAGCTATAGAATAGTAAGTAAATAAATGTAATGATATCTAAGATTTTCGACAGCATTCATTTAAATGAAACTACAAAGTATTTTACTATTTTTAAAACTATATATTCCCGACGTTTCGGTTACTTTGCAGTAACGGTGATCAACAGAAAAATATAACGCGTAGTTAAATACTTAAATATTAGTTTCACTTATATCAAGAATATTTAATAATAATTCATTAGTAAGTAAATGGACATCAAGTATATTATACAATTTGTTTAGAATATTCTTTGAAATCTGCATTAAAAAGTGGTTAATTACATATCTTAGTTTAATTTATCTTGAATCATTTATACAGGGTGACTGGTGAATTACTATCAATATTTAAGGAGAATACTCGGTACATGATTCTCATTCGAATTATGTAAAAAAAAAGGGACTTAATTTTTGACAAAATTTCCGTATAAATAAATAAAGTGTTGACACGTTCCAAGTGTGGACGCGTGCGGCGGCGTGCTGATACAACACCACGCCGCCGCACGCGTGTGTGTGAGTGTGTGTGTATACCTAATCTGTAGGTGTTCACACGATGCCTAATTAATTACATAACTTTTGGTTAACTTTACTTAGAAGTTTATTAATATTTATGTTATATTAATTTTTATTTTGTCATATAATATGATCGTCAAATATCACGTCCTCAAGTATCGATAGTCATTCACCAGTCACCCTGTATAGTATTAATTTATCTATGAACATATATATGTATTTATATGTGTAATATATATATTTTTAATGTATATAATTACATACCTTTTGATCTGTTGGTGCGATTAACACGTTACCCCAGTGAAGATCACGATGTTCAAACTGAAATGCCTCCTCCGCTACGGCTAGACCAAACGCAATCTGGAAACATTACAACTCTATATACATATATACAAAAACTAAACCATATAACATACAAAGAAAAAAAAATAAAACACATGCAAAAAATAAAACCACTCGTAATAAAAAGCAGACGAAACCGTCGCAAAGGACAAGTGAAAATCTAGTCAAGATGTCGATACTTGATGCTAGACATTCACTAGTCTTTCGAAACAGTCATGCATTATCCGGAACAACACTACAAACAAAAACACATTTATATAGAAAAAAACAATAATTATCAAACAAAAATCATATGTAGATAGCAAATACATAATGCAGGTTAAACTATATTATTATATTCATACTAAAAGCTGTTAGAACCAGTATAACTGGCTCATATCATGATGGCATTACTTATCAACTTGTTTAACATCAAAACAAATAAAACATATAATTAAGTATTATATGTAGGAAATGATTTTGTAAATTTCATTGTTACTCTATATAATAATTTATTAACATAATTTGTTGTATAATGATGATGGAATCAAAATTAGTATTTATTTTATAAGTATCAGAACAATTTAATGATGAAGCTCAAATTTTTAATATAAATCCACACAAAAATAAAGATAAAATTAATCCTATTAATATTATAATTGCGAAAGTTTCTGAGTGTGTGTATGTTTGTTACTTCTTCAAGCTTAAACGGCTGAACCAATTTTGATAAAATATTATGTTATGCTATTATTAAATAGTCGCTCATATATGACGTTTGTATTTTTAACATATCGCCATCTATTGAATACTTAACTCAGTCAACAGATAATTGTAATAATGACAAAAAAATTCTTTAATAGACAAATAATATTGTGACTATAAATTGAGATGTAAGCTATCCTATCATTCAAGTTGGATCAAAATGCACACGGAATGCAAATCAAATTTAAAATCGGTTTAGTAGTTTAGGAGTCCATAGCGGACAAACACGTGACACGAAATTTTTATATATATATAATGTTTCCAACCTGTTTGAACAGTGCATAAGCCTGTTCAGCGTTCACAAACTGATAGCTTTCCAAGTCTTGGCCAGCGTTGGCCAGCTCGAGCACAATGAACTGCTGCTCGGGAGGCAGTACAGCTGGGTTGTCGTTCTCCGAGCCCTTGCACTCGTCATACAGCTCCCAGAGATCGAGGAGCCTGGATGGATAGCCACCGGTCACACAACGAACTGATAGCACCTGGAAGGATATAAATATATTATATGAATAAGGCAGAACCTGGCTATAGCTGGGAAATTGCCAGAAGAAGTTGATATTGTAGTAATATGAGGGTAAGGAGACGGAGAACTTTATATAGGCAGCTTTCAAAGGAGATCAGGATTATCTTTTCGTTCATAACATTAATAGATAGTAGATTTTTTTAGAATGTTTCAATCTTTTGTTTGTGTTATATTCATATTAGATTCATGATAAGTTTGAATCTAGATACTAGAAAGTTATTAATTTATATTATTTTAAAAATAATAAATTAATAGTGAAATTGTACCCAATATTATTTAACAAAAATAACGTTTTGTTATTTTTTGTCTAGAAGTCAGATAGATTGATGATAAAACACTTGGATGGTAACATATTTGTCTTAAAGAACAAAAATGACTATATCACAAAAAGATTCATCTGCAAAGATATATGTAAATAATTAAAAATTGTTATTGCTAAATGTTATGACTAATTAGAAACTATAAAATATATACACCAGACTGTATATGTACTTAAATCACTTTACATATAAATAAAAATATATGTTTTACTAAACAACCAAATTATCAAAGTGCCGATAAGATCCGACAATACACAATAATTAGGCAAAAAAAAACATTAAAATGAGCCAAACAACTTGGGGATTCCACTATAGATAAAAACATAATATATACATATATACAGGGTGACTGGTGAATTACTATCAATATTTAAGGAGATTACTCAGTACATGATTCTCATTCGAATTATGTAAAAAAAATAGGCACTTAATTTTTGACAAAATTTCCGTATAAATAAATAAAGTGTTGACACGTTCCAAGTGTTCCAAGTGTGTTCCATATGATCGTCAAATATCACGTCCTCAAGTATCGATAGTAATTCACCGGTCACCCTGTATAGTAGTATAATATATATACATATATTTCCCAAAAAGGGTTGATGTCAGGCAGGCGGCCGGTCGTAAAAACAATTTGCCAAAACTATTCACAACTTGAAGGCAGACCCTGGTTATAGCTGGGAAATTGCCAAGTAGCCGAAGAATATATACACATATATAAATATATATTCAAACAAAACTCGTCAATATGATGAAAACGCGTCATTAATGACACACGCACAACTTGTTTACATAATGATATGCGCGCGTTTAACGGAACCCTATACCTGTTCTATTAAATACTTTAACGGGGAAAAATTGACTCGTTTATACAAATAAAACTAGTTTATTTACCAATAAAATTAATAAATATTAATATATGTATGTAATATTATTGTTTTTGACCTGATATTGTGTTAAACAATTTCTTGGAAATAATAAAAATAAAATCTTAGTAATATGATAAGGAAAATTCTGTATATATTTTTAATTAAATTTTGTAATCTATTTGAATGAATAAGGAAGACAAATATTTTAAAATTTATACAATTTCACTTCCGAGTTTCCATTAAAGATAAGATCAAAATTTAATACTATTTACATATGTATATACTTATACATAACAGTATAAAAAGCCGGCCTATCATGCATGAAGGCGCGGATTCGATCCTGGCAAGTACCAATTTGATTTTTCCGAGTCATATGTACTTTGTAACAGTATTTAGACATCACTGATTAATGCATTCCCAAAGAGGGTTGATGTCAGGCAGGCGGCCGGTCGTAAAAACAATTAGCCAAAACTATTCACAACATGTAAGGCAGACCCTGGCTAAAAGCTGGGAAAATTGCCAGGTAGAAGAAGAAGTATAATAATTGTGAAATTATATATATAAAGGTTGTTAATTTCAAATACTTATATGAATTATTATCATACACTAACGACATTATAGTATTAACTGTTATCTATGTAAAGGCAATTTTAATTTAGATATAACATGACCCAATTGTTTATCAGCGGACAGACATCTTTGAATGGAGTGATTCATTTGAGATACCACTCACAATAAATGTATAGAGACATTCATTATTTAATAGTATTTTGCCCATAAATTATGATATCTTTATAATAATTTAGATATATTTAATGAAGATTTTGTAATTTAAAACATATATACTCATACTAAATAAATAAAAAGTGTCTGTTAGTTATTACTAACTTTTCACTTGATGCTTATAAAAGAAACATCAAAAAAACTGAATTGATTTTGATGGGAATTTCACTTGCAGGTAGGTTAACTATGAAGCATGACTTAAAGCCACTTATTAAGTGACTTAAAAAAAAGAAAGTTTTCATGTATCATAAAAATAATGCAGCACTTAAAGGTTGATTTTGGAAAGCATTATGTTAATCAAAAGGTTATAAATATACCTGAGGTACTTCTTTTATCAATCAGATCTGAATGTAATCAAAGAATTTTCAAGAAATCAAATAAAAACTCACACATATGATAAGGCATATATCAAAATTTGTTTATATGATGAAATATCCGCATGCAAAGGCTTAGCTAATAGCTAGTATTAAATATTTGTAAAAGATTGTTTGAATTGAGACATATTAAAATATTTGTTATCAATTAAATGGTGATCATATAAAAATATATGTTAATTTATTTATCGTTAACCCAAAAACACATATTGGTATTAGTTCATAGGATATATGTGTCTTCTTCTATTTGGCAATTTCCCAGCTTTAGCCAGGGTCTGCCTATATGCCTAACTGCCTATAGGACATATATGTGTATTAATAATGATATATAAGCTCACCTCATTAAAAACATCTGTAGCATTTTCTACCGTATGTAAATCCAATGTTTCCAAGCTCTTGCCTTCATTTAAATGATTCGTTATGTCTGCTATTGGAGCGCGTAGTGCGCTCAATTCCCTAAAAAATACCAAAAAAAAAACATTATACATAAAAATATTGCACAAATAATGTCTGAATTTTGAGAATGAAGATATTTCAATGTCACATGATAAGAATGTCATTAAAATTCCGTGTAAAGCCTGAATCATACCGACATGAATGAATTAGTCAATAATTATGCATATAATATGTATAAAGTAATTTAAAACATTAAATTCATGTTATAAAATTTTATCTAAGACCAGACAACAAAGCATGTCAGTTCATTGTCCCAAGTAATTATAAACAATGACATATAATTACTTGTTTACTTATGATTTTTATCAAATATTCTCTTCAAAATATTCAAAAATTTATAAGTCAATCAACTCAATGGTTGTGCTAGAGAATAAAACCGAACCACTTTCACAGTTACATAACAGTTTGAAACAATGAACTGAAAAACGCTTTACATAAGCTGGGACAATGTCTTTCTTGCATAACAAGCAACAAATACTGTTGCAATTAGTATGAATCGCAAATATTGAAAGCTATTATGTATACAAATGTAACAATTTAGTGAAAAAAGGATTATAAGTACAGATATTTCGTTTTTCTTGTTACTTAAATAGGTAAAGCAGTATTTTTACTTCTTTATAGTAATATATTGTGAATGCACAAATTTTTATATCTTTATATATATAATTCTTTTGTGAGTGTGTATGTCACTGAACTTCTCTCAAACGACTGATTTTGATGAAATTTTTTGTGAAACACAGAGATTTATGGCTTTAATAGGTAAACTCCAAAAATATAAATAAAAAAACGTAACAGATATTTCTTGATTATAGGGCGATACGAAGTTTGAAGGGTCTTCTAGTATAACTTGTAAGTAGATATAATATAATTATTGTTTAATACTCACATAGCAATCACAATCTCCGAGAGTATTTCATGGAAGCCCTTCTGTTCCTCCCCATTGACTTTAATGTCCCCAGCTATTGGTATAACCTTTAAGACACGAGCCCTTCCGTCGCCAGCTCGCCACAGAAAAACTTCCCCATAAACACCTTCACCGATCTTACGGCAGTTCTTCAATAGCCTGAGATTTACAAACACCAACTATTAGAATATAATTATCGTTATAATAATTCTGTGAATCATAGTAAACGAATATCTTGGTAAGAAAATTTTCATAGTAAAATGGAGGAAATATTTTGGCGGCATTTAACGAAAAAAAAATTCTAGGCCAAGGATTACTTCATAAAGCCTCGTCATGTATAAATAAAAACTATTTGTTTAGAATACTTAAACATTATTTACACATATGTGTATTACTTGTAATGGTATTAATTAATACGTAATATTAACTATACTGTAGATAGATTCATTTATTTAAAACAGTATGTAAACATAAAATACAACACGTTCAAAACGTAATCCACCATCTTTGTTTCATTTGACCCACTAATGCTGTATAATTAGTGACTAATATACAAACACAAGTAACTCACGGATCGGGATAGCATTCGTCGAAGAGTAACACATCTGTCTGGTTGCACCGTCGTAAGACGTAATCGCGAGCAGACGTTATACGATTAGAAGTATCATGAAACTTTTCTATGAGAGTGACCTCGTGTTCCGAATCGGCAATCGACAGTTTTGATAACTCAACAATCGTATCATCACAGTCTTCGCCCAAAAATCCTGAAAAAAAAACACTACATGCTAACGAATTGACATATACTAGGAAGTAGATGACGAATGACGAACTTTCCCCTATGAGTAATTCGTTACGTAGAATCGTGGAACCACGCTATCTATACAAAACGAACACAGCTTTCTATTTTTTTGTAACACGTGTTTATTTTTCGTTACCTGTGTATTGCAGGGAAAGATGCATGCACTCTGCTTTAGACACTTCAGTTGAACAAAGGCGGAGACCAAGCTATTATCCCGTTACGGATAACAAATGGCAGTCAAAATGTCCGAGTCAATAACAATGTTTATCACGCTATATAATGTCCGGCTATTGTTTAACAATAGCAGCAATTAAAAACACTACGAAACGTAAATGTTACACTACTAATTTGTTAAGAACAAAAAAATAAAAATTAACTTTATTAACAGTAACGACAACACGGCGTTTGCTTCCGCGAACGAATGTCGCCTTTGAGACAGATGATAAAATTAAATAGTCAAACACTACTCAGTGTTGCCATGTAGAAGTTTTAAAAAATTACTACGTATTTTCTATACTTGGTAGAAAATATTATAATAATTTTATTTTAACCGTATACAAACAATTTATATAATGTATGCTTAAAATATGTATTTAAAATAAAAATTAATATGATATAATAATTACTACGATATTGATATTCAGAATGAAATTTCAATATTTGGTAAATCTAAATATAAGTTAAATAAATCTGAATGGGAAAAAAAATATTTTAATAAAGATACTAAATGTTACACCCATTTTGAAAATTCGTAATACTTTAATTTAATTTAACACTATTTTCAACAGTTAGGTTCAATTGTAATATTATATAGTAAACGAAAAAATATTATATCAAAATAAGTATAGTTAATAAAAATCATATAAAAATATATACCTTGTAGATCTTCGCATACTATGGTCGAACACAAACTATCCCGGGAAAAGTCAGATTCCTAAAATAAAAGAATTATCATTAACGTTAAACACGTTTGCTATTATTTTTAAACAGTTAAATTATATTAATTTTTGGGTAAATTCCCGTACAAAAAGGTAAAAGTATAAGAAATAAGATCGGATCGAGTTTAAAGTCGAAGAAAATATGTACTCCAACCAGAATAGAAATAGGCTTTATAAAGTTTTGTCAGGTATAAAAAATAAAAAATGCCTAAAAGCTGAAAGAATAAACAAGATATTTATGAACGTTTAACGCGCGTTAGATAGGGTCCCTTAAACCTACACCTGGGTCGCAAGTCCCAGTCACAGTTGAAGCTCCTCTCACTACAACGATGGACCCGACACCCGCATATGAATACATTGAATGCTGAGAGGTTTCATCTAATATACAGTCAAATCTTGATAAGCGAAAGTCCAAAGGCGCAAAATCTTATTCTCACTAATGCAGGTATATAAGTAATATTTCTCTCTTAAACAAGTAAGCAGTAAAAAAAAGTAACAATTCAGAAACTATAGCCCATAATATTCATTTCCATGTACGTCAGACCACTCAGATTAAAGTCTTTTGATCTTATAATTACAATAGATGTATTCTGGTCCATTACACACGTTCTGAATTTCATTTAGCTTTCAGATTCAAACGTACTCACTATTTTAATTTTATTACTTGACTAGCTTTCCGCCCGCAGCTCCGCCCGCGTTGAATTCGGTTATATCGCGTTTCCAAAAGAACCTTTCAAAAGTCTGGGATCAAAACTTTCCTATGTTCTTTCTCAAGGTCAACTCTATGTCTGTACCAAATTTCATTAAAATCAGTTCAATGGTTTAGGCGTTAAAGCGTAACAGACAGACAGACATAGTAACTTTCGCATTTATAATAATAGTAGGGATAACAGTACTTTAATTTTCCGTTTTGACATGATGCTGATCACAACTTTCCTTTGTAACTAATTACTATAAACTGACAAGTCCAAAAAATAGGACGTGTTCATTTGAAAAGAATGGTATAAAATAACATTATATAGATCTACGCAATAGAATAAGTACATAGACAAGAAAACAATTCTAGAAAGTCCTACGAAAGTTAAAAAGTAGCCATAAATAGCAGATTTTAAATTTGTTACTGTATTTGTATATTTTTATTGTAGCTATAGTTCCTTTTAAATAATATCCCTACTAATATTATTAATGCGAAAGTAACTCTGTCTGTCTGTTACGCTTTCACGCCTAAGCCACAGAACTGATTTTAATGAATTTTAGTACAGCTATAGAGTTGACCTTGAGAAAGAACATAGGATAGTTTTTATCCCAGACTTTTGAAAGGTTCTCTTGGAAACGCGATATAACCGAACTCCACGCGGGCGAAGCTGCGGGCGGAAAGCTAGTAAATGTAATGCTAGACTGTCGCTTATAGAAGTATAGATAAGTAACAGTCTTTCGAAGGTCTATGAGGGAAAAATGACTCTATAGAGTCTCAGTTTGTCTCTATTAGAGGTCTTGGAAACTTAAAATGAGTCCTGGCTATTACTCTCGCTAATAAAGTTATTTTACTTATTCAGGTTTGACTGTATACATATATACTTATATATATATATTGTATTCAACAACTCTCTCACAAATTAATATTTGTACATATAAAGCATGGATTTTTCTGCTAAAGTCATATCAATTATTTTTTTAATAAAACAACTGTCTCATTATTTTAAATACCGTAATTTTTAATATGCATAATAAAAATTGTATTTCTGTAACTCGAATATTTTTTGTTTTAATGATATGAAATTCGACAATAACTTCTTTGTGTAATTAAATAAAATATAAATAAATACCTTAAACGTAGTATAATCCGAAATAACTTCGAGATCAGCATTAACACTAGTTTTCATCGTCAAAAAACGGTAAAATAACAGTTAATTTCGTAAATTCCCACGTGTAATACAAACGAAATACTTTTAACTGACCGTGTCACGTCTAAAGTGACGTTATGGGATTAGCATTGTTTAAAATCGTTATGAACGAATGGTAAAATAATTAATTAATAAACATTCATTTAATGTTAGAAAACAATGTATATAATTAGTTAATAATCAATTAATTAATTGGTTAAGCTTTCAAGTATGTAGAGCATTTTAATATATAATAATATATTTCTATAAAGATAAGTCATGTTTCAATAACTTTATTTTCTTCATTTATGGATGTTAATGTTTAGACAGAGAAGTTATTTACTATTATTTGTCTTATTTACCTTACGATTTATAATTTTTCTATGTAAAACATGTCTTTGTACTCACTCTTACAATTTTAATGGTAGACCGGCATGGTTTTGAAACGAAAGTACTCCTGCGACTTTTAATCGAATCATTGTGTTGTGAACCTGAAATTAAATAGTTTAAACAATATTCACTAACTATACAAACAAATAAAAATAAATTAAAAAAAAATTATAAACCTGACATTACACTGAGACTTTATCGGTGTCAAAGTTTTTTTTTTTTTATATACATCAAAAAGTTTGTTTGCGACCAAAGAGGTTTTATATATAAAAAAATAAATACCCTTTTCCTGTAATTCCATGGTAGTTATAACACTCTGCCTGTATTTCCTGCCTTTATTCTGCAACTGTTCTTCATCTAATATAGTTTTGTCGAAGTTTTCTACTGTTGTCATTCTTCTGTATATACTTAATGATCTTTCCCATCTCTTCCCTGGCTGTAGTACTATGCATGGTTTTTCTTTGGATATATTAAGCATATTTGTTTCTGAGTCTCTTATATTCTTTATATTTGAATCAATTGTTGAATTTCTTGAGCAATTAATGGAGTTTCTCTCTGTATTGAGAATCATCCGAGCACTCTTTCTAGTGACCATTCTTGGAAGTTCCGGCAATGTTTTTATTTGATCCACATCTTCTTCATGTAATTCTGATTTAGAACTATTAGCACCATCTCGATCTATTTCTTTATTATCTAATATATTTTCTATATGTTCAGATTTTAATTGTAAATTACTATCATCACTCTTTCTAAGTACAGTCTTTTCAGCATCAGCGCTTGAATCAGCAATTGAACTATCTACATCTAAAATAATTGAATCGTTTGGTAGAATTCTTCGTCTCGTTGTTACAAAACTAACACAAGCCTCTTCGTCCATCTTATCATTACATGTATTCGAACAATCTGATGTATTAACGCTAGTTACAGGTACATTATTAACTAAATCTATATCATCACAATTGTCAGATACACTTAAAGAGTCTGTAATATTAGAATTATAACTATCGCTGTAATCGGTATTATAATCTGAATTAAGTTCTGGTTTCGGCATTAATTCATAATATTTGTTAAATATGGAATCATTCAGTCTTTCGATAACAACTACAGGTTCACTTAGTCGTTTGAATTCACCGGAATCATCTTCGCTATTGCAAGTATCATAATTTGATTCTGAACCGGAAATATAACTTTCATCGGAATAAGAATTCCTGGAAACGTCATCACTAATATCATCTTCATGTAATGTTTCAGATGTTTCATTATATGAATCATCTTTCGTTAAAATATTTTCCATCTCCTTATATTTTTCACGGATAGCATCCAAATCGTTACAATGTATGTCGTTGTCATCGAAACCGTGGAATGATTCAATTTCCGTTGTTTGGAAAGTTAATGAATTTTTTATAGTTTTAATTTGATTTCTCTTAGTTATTGTCGGATTTGATAAAATTGGTGATTGATTATCTGTTGGATATATACTTTTATACTGGGATTCATTTATAGTATTTGTTTTGGTATGAAAATTCTCATTAATATTATCTTGATGAAAGCTAGGTTCTGGATTTTCTATATCTGCAGCCTGTGTTTCTTTTTCAATATCATTATTTTCCTCTTTGTAAGATAAATCTATATGTTTTTCGTTATTTATAATGGCAGTTTTTTCTTTAGGGCTGTCAGCTAAGTTTATAGATATAGGTGAAAATCTATAAATGGATGCACCCCTGTATTTTTCATGAAACGGTGTGCTGCATAAAGGTGAATCTTGGGTAATTTTATTATAAGGCATAAGATAATTTTGTTTAGTTCTGGGAGTTTGTGTTGAACTTCTCAAATGTGAAAATATTGATAGATTATTAACTACGTCATTAATGGATTTGTCATTATATTCAGGACTATTTTTGATTTCTTTTTCAATCAATAATTTGTGACTTTTAATATCTGATGAATTAGCTGTTTTGTCAACTTCTAAACTACTCGAATTCGTGTTTTCTTTATCAGAATCTGTAAATAAGACATTTTTTTAAATAAAATATTGAATTTGAAGTTTAAATTAATTTAACAAAAAATACCTGTGCTTTCGCTGTTAGAGTAATTTATATTTTCCTTACTTATTTGCTTTTTAATATAAGTCTTTCTCTGGCTGAAATAATAGGTGGAGTTGAAAACATTATTCCACTTAGAAAGTGATGTTTTTAATAAAATGAATGTAACTTACAATGTTGGTTTATTATATGTTTGTTTTTCTGGTGTGTTATTAGAAGAATTAAGTAACTGATCGAATAAATCTGGTGCTTTATTAACCCGGATAGATTTATCCGGAGTTAAAAACGCTGAGTTCGAAGTTGATTCCCTTGCACGATACGAAGTTTCTTGTTCCTTGAGCCGCTTAACGTATTTCCTTTTACGTACTTTATTTGAAGCAGCAAACTGCATTGTGCTTCCAACAGACATATCTCTTTTAGTTTGTTTAATATTTTGTATATAAAATGCATCGAAAACAGAACTTTTTGCGTCCATCGTAAACAAGACATCTCTGGGATCTATGGCACCTGCAGTTTCCTTCTTAGATCTATACGTCCGTCTCATCTTGAACAGCTTAGGATATACTTTAATTAAATATTTCTAGTGCTTACATTTTATAACAATTCATAACATTTAAAAACAAACGATTCAAATCGACATTCGGATTTACTACAGATAAAATATTGTTGAAATTGACATTCGAAAAATAGTTTCTTGCATAGATTATAAAACAGAGAGAAAAGGTTTAAAAATGTTGAAAATACAATAAATACCGAATATAACATGTAACAGTAATATATTTAAGATATATTATATTTATGATATAATTAAGTCATGTTATTATGATGATATTCTTGTAAGAAAATGTCGCAAATGTTTTAGTTTCTCATGATACTATTGAAATAATAGTCTTAAGTTGCCAATATTTGTAAATAACGTTTAGCATTAAGCCGGAGCATAAAAAAACTATTATTTGAGGATATATTGAGACTCAAAATATTCAGTTGATTAATTAAAAACATTTTTTACTTGGAGCATTTTGTGCAATGAAATACTGAAAAGTTCTTAATATTTTTAAATTTATTAAATTTTAACAATCATTGTAAATTTTTCGATTTATTGTGAAAATTGTGATAAACAATAGATAATAACTTAAGTATCAAGCTTGCAGTAATGAATTAGTCTTATTTTTACCATAGTGTTATCAAAGCTTCACAAATTTAGCAATACCCAACAATGGGTTTTTACTACTCTTAATAAATGGAGTTACAAAATAATTACAATCTAAGATTCCAAAAATATATCTTATCTAGTAAAGATTATCTTTGAGTCTTTAGGTTTTTCTAAATTTGATTAAGAATTCCAAGTTGACTCCTCTTATTCGTACTAAATACTATCCCAATTAATTATGATTTAATCATATAGCAAAGGACTAATAATAATAGTAGAAACTTTTTTCAATCTTACTGTGCTATAAATTTAATTACTTACTCTCTTCCCAAAACTAATCGTATTTAACTTTGTGAAAATGGAAATAGCGAAATGAAACTCTCTGCAGAATATTTCATTTGTATCCAGAAAAGAAAATCACTAAAAACTTCTCAAGCTTTATTTTACCAGTAACTTAAGAACCATTTTAACACATTTTATTGTAGTATGCAAGTGTACTTACCGTTTGACTAAATCGTTTTACAATAATAAAAAAGTCACATACGATTTGTTATAATTTTCTTTTTATTACATAATCATAATTCTTAGTTTTACACATACAAAATGTTAGTCACCGGGTATTGGGAGTTTGCTCTACACACAACTTTTAATGGGAGACAACTCCCCTTTCGTCAGATTTCATATATTAAATTGTATAAATAATTTTATCTATAAGTAATTTTCCGAAATTTTCGGGATCAAATTTATAAAATCCTGGATTATTTCTGCCTCAATACGTGTTTAAATTGGTTAAAAAAAATCAAGTTTCTGATAAATTTAATTTAAAAATATTGTTCCTATAGAATTTGATCTCTTTAGCTTAGTCTTTTTTATAGTTATCTATAGACCTAAGTATAGAAAAGTTATATTGTTTGATATACTATTAATAAGTGTCTCGTCTATTTATTCATAACAAAACAGCTTCCATCAACCAACGTTTTGAAGACTAAAAACTTAAATATTCAATGTCATCACAAATTTTAATCAAAAATAAAAAAATATTTTGAGAAATTGTAAGTATCTTTTACTATATTTGTTACAACTATCCATTACTTACAACCGGGCACTATGTAGGGTATAGGTATTTAACTGTAGAATATACATAATCCCGAAATCCCGGGATTAGAAAAATTCGTTCGGGATGAAATGTCTAGTTATATTGTTAACAACGCCTTATAATAAAGGTTTTAATGTATAACTAAGCTTTAAGACAGATAGTCCATTTTAGTCAGAGCTACCAATATTTAATGAGTGTTTTAAATTAATGAAATCAAACAACACAATGTCTATACACTTCTATTAAAAATACAATTCCTGTACTGGTTACACAGCAGAATGTAATAGCTTACATATAACCCCATCTAATAAAATATATATTCATTTAATTATGACAAAGATCATTAATCTTTGGCATAATATATTGAGAACTAAGCTCAGTGTAATACTTGAAATATTCAACCATAGCTTCATTTAAACTTTTTTTTTACTACCATTATTTTCAAAGACTATTTTAAAACATTTAAATGAAACTAATATTTTTTGTATGTACTACGTATTTTTATTTTTGATAAAAACTACATACTCCAGACGTCACGGGCAAACGAGATCAGGGTTTCTGTAAAATCAGTCAAAAGTAAAAATCGCGTAGTACATCCGAAAAATATCAGTTTCATTTTAAATGAATACTCGCGAAAATCTTACATATCATTATTTTAAATCAATTTTACTAGTAAATGAATAACAATATAGTGTTTAGGATATCTTGCAAATTGGCAGTTTATGAATCACATTTAGTCACAGTAAAATATATATACATATATGGAATTGTGTATTATCTAAATAACACGTTCGTTACATAAATAGTATTAAGGTGGCACTTCACTTATAGAAATAAGACCATGTGTGGAGGATTTATTCGTGTTATTTGACTTATTTGCACAAATAAGACACATACGAATAAGCGAAAAGGCGTAAAGACTTGTTGTTGGCAAGCCAAGTGTGGATGATGTGTTTGCGCTATTTGGACTACGTACAAATATTTGGACAAATACGACGAATACGCAATGCCAAGTGAATTGCCACTTTTACAATGTAAGTACAATGAGAATAATTGATACATATAATAAATAATAATGCACAACAAAATGTAATTTAAATAACAAATTATAATATAAAATCAATGTTTCTTAAAAATAAATAACAATCAACTAATTTGGTGACGAATAAGAGAAAAAAATATAAACTTATTAAAGAAAAATTCAATTAATGGGAATGGCAACAATTAACTCTAACATATTAAGTAACTTTGAAAAAATTATAAAGGCAAATGATTTTATAATTCAGCTTTATAATATTAATTTAATAATTGTATGGGATTGCAAGTTTTTTTTAATGGTTTTTCTTTATATTGCACATTAATTAATTTATATGAATTATTAGGATTGTCAAATTAATTGACTCCTTTTCTGATGAATGTGACAGATACTTAATCTATCTTAGGCCCTAATTATCTTTAACACTATCTTTACATCTTTGATAATTAAGATTAACAAACATTTTTATCTTTTATTAACTACACATTTACTTATGCTAACATATGGGTAGTATCTAAACAAATCCTTATAAATAATGGTCAAGGAGTTTGTGCAAACTTTAATATCACATAATTATTAATTCGGCTGATTATTTTAATCACAATTATGAGAATACATCTATTGTATGTGGGGCTGAGTCGGTTATATGTGTTGGGCTCGCAAGCGGATCATTCTGAGATTCAATTCTTCTCGCTTCTATTGTTGCTTGTTTGACGGCCTCCTTGTAGGGACCTCTTTTCTTTTTGTTGAAACGTATCTGTATTATTAAAGAAATATTTTTTTTAAGTTAATATTGTTATGTAATGAATCCTAAATATATATTTTTATATGTTGTTCATATTACTATACATGTTGAGAGATATTTAAATGGTTTTGGTAACAATTTTCAAAGTCCACTCTAATGAATTTCTGCTTGATTTAACAACCAAAATACCTGAGTTTTTTAATTATATAGTGTTTTGTGTTAGTTTTATATCTTACCTTATAATCTTGCAGGAAAGGGCTCAAACTTTCACAAGGCATCAGCGATGATGTGGTAGATGCAAACCATGATACATGTGCCCTAGAAGATGGGGTCACACTCATAACTTTACCCGGCCACCATGGAAAACCTACAATTTTACCCCACACTATATCTCCGACTGACACTCTAAGCAATTTACCCCCCACACTCTCTATACTGGCGGGGAAATCTGGTACCATTTCACTTTCACAGTCTTCGGATAGCTCGTTTTCTTCAATCCTATGTTCATATGAATTGCTACTGAGTCTACGTAAATTGATGGATAGCTTTTGCTTCAAACATTCTTCCTGAGTGGTGCTGAAACAATCCATTGAGTCTGCGTCACTTTTACTTGTGTTTTCATCTCGTTTCTTTTGTATTTTATGCTTTTTTTTATGCTTGACTTTGTGTTTATGCTTCTTCTCCAAGGAATCTAATGATGGTGGACTATTACAAACGCTATTTCGAGGGGATAAAGCTCCGATATGCTTTGGAGATTTTTCTATCCACAAGTTAACAGTTTTCTCTAATGTATTGCCTTTTTTGGCTTGTTTCCTCGCCTTTTTCAAAGCTTTCTTAACAGCTTTGGAATCTGGTTTCGCCATATCACATGACACACCGGAATCTTCGTTGAAATCACCAGCCAATGGCGGTATTTTAACTACAGTGCCTTCGCCCTCACCGAAACTTATTTTGAGTGTCCTGGCATTAGAAAATAAATTACTAAATGCATTCTCGCCATCCTTCGCGTCTTCTTTATCACTATTGTCCGAAACACTAACAAAAGCAAGCTCCCTCGTCGGTCCATCGTCATTGTGAGATCTCTTTAAGCTTCTGCCTCTGTCACTAGATTTGGACGTATTTTTTGCTTTAGTAGCAGTTGTAATATCACTAGGCTGTAATTTAGATAGTTTAGGTATCAACATGCTGCCCATGAGGTACTTCTTTTCTAACTTCGATGACTCAGAACTATCTCTCTGTGATTCGTCATCCAAGTCATGTTTTCGCTTCTTGGACACGTCGACGTTTTCGCTATTCTCGTTGCAAATACCTTGGCAATTTGAACACAATACCTTTCTAGGACGTAATCTCACCGTCATCTTTTGTCGCGCCTGGGGTTTGGATTTTGAACCCTGTTTTTTTGACTTTTGCACGTCTTCATATTCGGGATCTTGATAAGTAAATCTTTGACTAACGGAATGTAACTTTTCATCTTTATTTTCTGCCTGTTCACCTTGCTTGGTAAACGATGGATGAAGACTGTAGACTCCAAAAGGCAAATTTCTATAAATAAAATTGATAAATATTAAATATAACAAGAAATCAATAATATTTTTTTATATTTATTTATTTAATACATACCCTTTATTAGAGTCTAGTAGTACACCTTGAAACTTTTTGTTTACGTCTGTATAGGATACTACAATTAAATCTTCTAAAGCTTCTTCAACATTTACTAAAATCTTAGAATTCTTTTGAATGGTCATATCGGCTGTTGTGAGGACAGCCGCCATATTCTTTACAGACTCAAGTACCACAGGCAGACAATTTGATTAAAAAATATTTCTAATAGCTTTGTGTAACAATTTTTCTACATTTTAATAAAAATTAAGAAAATAAACGTTATGATAAAAGGGTTGTGTCAACATGTAAGTTACTTAATTTTAACAAAGATGTTCCTTAATAGAGGATATGATTATACTTTTTCAAATAGACATAAAGTACTACCGCATTGTAATTAAAACATATTACTATTTAATCATTGAAAACCATATTTTATTGAAAAATAGTGTGATATTATATATTATGGTCAGAACCTTCAACAGCATCAAAGTATAGATTTCTTAAAGTTATTTCAAAAGTAGGAATCCAGTTACATTTTGACATAAGTCTTATAGTAATGTCAGTATTTTAATAAATTCCGCTGCGGCGTGTCGCTGACATTTGTATGACGAAAAACTCCTATCAGCAGTAAATATCCACTATCTCAGTGGTAAGATAATTTTTGCATATAAAAACTACAATTGTCAGTTAAACTCAAATTGAATATCAACAAAAGAAATCGTAAGTATCATTGTGATATACCTATTAAAAAAAGATTTTTGTATTTTATTATGCTTCTTACATAATCTATTACGTATAATTATTACGCTTTTTCTTTTATTTAACAAGTTTGACTTATTTTCAAGGTCTTAGAAGCTTATATTCGCCGAACTAATATTCTTGCACAGGTTTTTCACAAACCGTAAATGTCACATCAATATATAAATGCTTTAAAGTGAAAATGTATTTCAGCAAATAATATTTCTTGAGATAATGCATCATGAATGATTTTAATTTTTAATATAATTTTATCTCTGATTTATTCCATGATTAATTATATATATATTTTAAACATTTTGTATGGATTTATTTTATTCCATTTATTTACAAAGTAATATTTGCTATTTCCTACACACACAAACTTAAATTTAAACCAAAACTCACTAAATTTGGTAATCCCATGTTTTTATCATAATTACTTTCACCTGATAACAATTTACAATTACAAACTGCATTGAAAAAAAATATAGACTTTAAATTTTCAAACATAAATTTATCTAAGATTTAAGGTTTTATTTAAATAATAATTACTTTTTTGAATTGAGGATAGTTTTTTACACAGTTAAATGTATGTGTTTTTATGGTAGGAATGTTGTTCCTATATATTTTATTTGCATACATAACAATATTGTCCTTTAATATTTTTTACATAATTTCCTTATACTATACTGTATTTGATTATAAACTCTATTTCATAGTATTAAAACTGATATTCCAGTGTTTTGACTTCAAATAATAATTTATACTTTGTTTCAGATCATGACAGAGAAAAGAATTGATATAACACAACCACTATGGGATCAGAACACCTTTGTCGGAAGATTCCGGCACTTTGCTTTCATATCAAATCCATTATTGTCTATGGCATCGGAAAAAGAACTTTATGAAGCAAAGGAATTATATTTTAAATATAAGTATGTATTGAAAAAAAATTTAATTATAGTTTATGATTGGTAATGATTTGTGGTCCAAATAGCATTTATATATATATGCTTAATATATTTGGTTTTTAGTTTCAACAAATTTTTAATCATTGAAATAATCTTATAAGTATGATTTGTTAGTTCCTACCTAACTAAATAGATACAAAAAATTCAATTACTTTCGACTTCTACATGGAATTATTGAAAATTATTGATGGCTATATAACTAAATTCAAAATTTTTGTGACTTATGTAAATATTTATTTGTTTTTTGTTAGTAAATTCATTTTATTCACACAGGGAAGGTAAAGAACCTCCAAATACTCAGTTATCACAAGTTGTGAGAGCGAAACAGCTCTATGAATCAGCTTTCCATCCCGACAGTGGTGAATTGCAGAATGTCTTCGGCAGGATGTCGTTTCAAATGCCAGGCGGTTGTTTGATAACAGGAGCCATGTTACAGTGGTATAGGTGAGTTGTTTCAATATGTATATAGAATTTCTATGGTATTTATAACATATATATGTCCTACTTTATTATAATTATATTTCATTATTACTGGTCAAGTATGGTATATGATTTTGACTTGTTAAGTATCCGATTTGTTTTGACATTTGGTAATAATATGATAATTTGTTAAAGTAAAGTATTGGAGACTAAAAACTTATGTGATATTTTAAAAATAAATTATGAAAAGGAAAGCGCAGATAAAAAAGATTTTATAAAAATTATTCACATTATGCTTTTAAAATCACAATTATATCGTAATGCTGGTTGAGAATCAATATAATATATTATATACACCTAGAAATTTTAATTGAACTATATATATTATACATAATATTTACAATAATTGAGATCGTAGGTGCATTTAAAACTAAGATTATACAGGGTGACTGGTGAATTACTATCGATATTTGAGGACGTGATATTTGACGATCATATATGACAAAATAAAAATTAATATGACATAAATATTAATAAACTTCTAAGTAAAGTTAACCAAAAGTTATGTAATTAATTACTCATCGTGTGAACACCCTACAGATTAAGTATACACACACACACACACATCGGCGGCGTGGTGTTGTATCAGCACGCCGCCGCACGCGTCCACGCTTGGAACACTTGGAACGTGTCAACACTTTATTTATTTATACGGAAATTTTGTCAAAAATTAAGTGCCTATTTTTTTTACATAATTCGAATGAGAATCATGTACCGAGTATTCTCCTTAAATATTGATAGTAATTCACCAGTCACCCTGTATAAAGAGTTAGAATACGGATGTTATGCTATCAGTTGATGCAAGCAATAGGCTCTGTTTTATTAACTTTAGCTATCACTCGCGTTCCTTTTACAGTACCCTCTCTTCTGTAATCAGTAATGCGACATGCGATAGATGAACAAAAAAATAAATAAAAGATAAAAAAAATAAATAAGTATAGATAAAAGTTCCATCATCTCTTATTTGAATAAAGTAATACATATATATGTATATATTAAACTACTTTGTATCTATTTCCGTGTGTTGATAATTGATCTCTATAACGAATGTCAGTTTGTCTCGATGTATTGTATTACAAATTTGTTCGAAACACTTGATTGTGTTCGTCTTACTGACGGTGTTATGAACAATTCTTGAACTAATTACTTAAAATTCTTTACAATATTTTTTGACCAAGGTTGAGTAGATTTTAAAATGACCTTGAAGTAGCTTGAAAGTTTCGTTCGTGCCCAAAATTATCTATTTCCTATCTCACCTGATCCCAGGGGCTAGTGATGGCTTCCAAGTAGTTAGGTATATCGTAGCCAAAAAATATGTCGATAAATTATCGTCGTATGTTTTAATTATACAGGGTGACTGGTGAATTACTATCAATACTTGAGGACGTGATATTTGACGATCATATATGACAAAATAAAAATTAATATAACATAAATATTAATAAACTTCTAAGTAAAGTTAACCAAAAGTTATGTAATTAATTACGCATCGTGTGAACACCCTAAAGATTAGGTATACACACACGCACACACACACGTGTGGCGGCGTGTTGTTGTATCAGCACGCCGCCACACGCGTCCACGCTTGGAACACTTGGAACGTGTCCACGCTTTATTTATTTATACGGAAATTTGGTCAAAAATTAAGTACCTATTTTTTTTACATAATTCGAATGAGAATCATGTACCGAGTATTCTCCTTAAATATTGATAGTAATTCACCAGTCACCCTGTATATATGTTGACGCATCACTATTCACTATTAAATTAATTTTACCATCTAGCTCAGGGTTTTAGAATGGGGTATTGATTTAGACAAGAGCATTACTGTCCGCGTTGATTAATCGTGATTGTAAATCAGTAATTAAAATAAATATGATGTAAGAAGCCTATACATCAAGATTAAAATGAATATTGTGGTCAATTTGAAAGTGTAATTTAATTTTGTGTCAAATATATATTTTTTTTCAATTGCTTTCGAATGAAATCAAATGTATTTTTTCCGTTAAAATATAGTATTTTTACACTCTTAACTTTCGATGACGTATCCTCATTGAATTTTAAGTATATTTTCAACGGTATATAAAATAAATTTGGACAGAAAACAATTTTGTTTGAAATGTGGACTAAAGATATCAAATAATAAGTTTAAAATCACCAATCAAGCGTGGTGATTAATGCTCAAACATTCTCCATGTGACAACAGCCTTAGTTCACCAGTGGGCATCAATAGGTTGATGATGATGATACTTAAATGTAATTAAATATACTTTGCAGCAACCGTAATCATCTCATCCCGTGATCACGATTGCTGCAAAGTAACTATCGGGAGTATGCAGTTTTTGAAAATAATAATATGAGCGCATTAATCCGAAAATAGTAATTACATTTGAATGAATACTCGCGAATGTCTTAGATCTCATTATGATACTAATTACATTAATAAAATATTATTTTAAGTTCTATACATATAGACTATAGTTTAATCCTTTTAATATCGGATTTTCCAACACGCCAAAGTTTCCTTGAAAGCTAAGTATAATAACTGCGGAATTGAAGGTTACTGAAAATTTCGATATCTCAATAGTGAATGGGCTTTAACGGTAAGCCCATTGACGAAGCTAATGCTTTACTTTACCTTGCCTATATTAGACAACATTTTATTAAGTCTCATTATATATCCGAAATTCTAACGTATATTGCTCTAAAATATTTTAATAAAACATTTATGTATCCAGAACAGCAACAGCGGTAGTTTTCTGGCAATGGGTGAACCAGTCGTTCAACGCTCTAGTCAACTACACGAACAGAAACGCCAACTCGCCTCTATCAACCACACAGATGGGTGTAGCGTACGTCTCAGCTACATCAGCCGCTATGGCTACCGCACTAACATTCAAATACGGCATACAGAAACGTGCCAAGAATCCAATACTCGCTGTAAGATTTGTTCTATCATCTAGCCATAATTTCATTGTAACCCAGCTATCTAGCCATATTTTTATTATAACTCAACTATCTAGCCATATTTTTAGTATAACACAGTCCTCTAGCCACAGTTTTATTATAAATGAACTATCTAGCTATTGACATATTAAACATGCTTTATCATTTGTCGATTTCTTACTGCTATTTAATTTAAAGTCATTCATATTAGCCATAGTTTCATTACAAGTCAACAATCTAGCCTTACTTAATTATTAGTCGACGATCTAGCCACAAATTCATAAAACACTCAAATTTAATACAAATCTCACGTGTAGCGTCAATAGCGTTAAACATAATATATTTTTTAGAGATTCGTGCCATTCGCTGCCGTCGCAGCAGCCAATTGGGTCAATATACCCTTAATGAGACAAAATGAAATAGTTTTAGGTAATTTATTTTCTATATTCTACAGTATTACACTTTAAATATTACTAAATTAATTAATTATCATTTTCTAGGATTGGATGTGACCGATGAAAACGGAAAAATAATTGGAAAGTCGCAACTAGCTCCTGTCAAGGGAATATCACAGGTTGTAACTTCAAGGTATGTAGATTTTTTTTACAGCTATAATATAAACATTTAAATCAATACATAAAGGTTTTAATCTTTATTAAGTAATAATCATTTATTTGTATCTATTATTTCAATAATCTTATGTTAGTTGACAAATGATATCATGTTATGTGTAATTATGTATTAAGTCTTGTCATAATAGCTTAGTTGGTAAAGATAGTAGAATACAATATTGCGGTTCTAGGTTCGAATCATTCCCGTTTATGTTTTTTTTCCATATACTCTATAAAAATTTTGATTCCAATGCTATCTCAATATTGGTATGTTAAAAATGTAATGATAGGTTTACAAAGTTAATTTTGGAAGATGAAACTATAAATTAATTTAAATATAATTAAGTTATTCGGATGCATACTACACATTTTTTTATTATTTTGTACATTTATAATCGGATAAATTTTCATATCGTCTGCTCTTGATTGCTGTAAAAAAACCGAAATATTGATCTTATACAAAATAATAAGAACGTGGTTTCCGGAAATATTTATTCATTTAATATAGTACATATTTCTTATATTTATTAGGATAATAATGTGCGCGCCTGGTATGTTGTTACTGCCTGTTATAATGGAGAAAATTGAACCTAAGGCTTGGATGCAGAGAATTAAATGGGCTCATATCGGAATACAAACAGGGATTGTTGGAATGTTGTAAGTATTATTAACATTAAAATAACATATTATACAAAGAATAGAAAAATTACTGACTATATAGCTATATCTTCTATGAGAATAAATATGAACGAGTGGTAGAATATTTTATTTAGATGTAAGAATAAAGTTATTTATGTTAAAACTCAATATAAATTCAAATAATCTTTATTTCAGCCTAACTTTCATGGTGCCAACCGCCTGTGCAATATTCCCACAGAAATGGTAAGCTTAAAAACAATAATAATCTAGCCACAGTTTCATTATTTTTAGCCACAATCTCGCCATGAATGAATTATGAGGCTGTGATTAATCTAGCCACAGTTTCATTATTGTTAGCCACAATCTAGGCATAAATGGATTATAATGCTATGAATTAATTTAAATTATTTTTATTTTCAGTAAACTCTCAATTGAAACCATAAAGCGTTTTGAAAAGGACAGATATGAAGAAATTTTGAAGAACACAGACGGCAAGCCACCAGAATATGTTTATTTCAACAAAGGACTTTAGATATAGGAATTAAATAGTAATATATATTAAGTTGAACTCATAGTAATTGTTAGGTAATACATATACATATTTTATTTTGCTTTTTTAGACAAAATCATTAGAAATCTTGTTTTACTAAGCTTAATTTTTTTTAAATATATTTATGTTATTATTTTAATTTTTATAGTTATGATAAATGCTATAGTTTTTGTATGTTTTTCAATAATAATTGTACTTATTAATCTATTTTGTTGTCATTCTATCAGTATTTTGAAGCATTTTGTATAAAATGCAGCCAATACTATGCAATAAGCTTAATAGTGTTTTCTTTGTATAATGTTTTTTTTGTCAGCATTTTCTAATGTAATAAGAACATTCCGATTACAATTATGTTTTTCTTACATTTTCCTGGTTAATTAATAATTATTATTATATACATTTATCTAGTAAATATAATTTATATATCATATGTTTCAAAATCAATTTTTATTTATTTAATTTTAAGATATTTTTCAAAATGCTTTTGTTATATATATTGAAAGTTTTTTAGTTAAATTTTTAATTTTTTCTAATTGATTGCTGTGATTTTTTTGTATTCTCTGTATAATAATTTGTTTGTGATCTGTAGTAGAGATGTGATATAAAAGTTTCTGCGCCAATATTGTTATGAAGGTAATGTGTTTGAAATTATTGAATTTTTTTTTTATTTTAACGCTTAAAAAGACAATAAATTGTAGTTTTTGTATGTATTGTTCTTATTCAATTAATGATAGATCCTGTTTTTAATACAAGTGATTTCTCGCGACTCTGAAATGTATAGTGTGTTCAAAATGTATGCTTGTTTATTATAACGGCACCTAAGTGACTCATAAGAATGAGAGAAGAAAGGTCTCTTAAAAATGCTTTTTCCAGGCCAATACCAGTGATATAAGAAACATTTTTTTCCACTTTTCATATTCTATTTAAGGCTTTTGCTGAAAATATATCTGTTTATGTGATTTTTGTTGATTTAAATATAAAATTCTATAGTAGCAGTCTACAAATGCGAGCGATCAAATGGGTAAACGAAAAAATGTGCTTAGAATGTTGGATTTGTAAGATGCCGACAGATAATCCCAATTTATTGACAACATTGCGCAGTTTTTACTAATTTTGGCAACGGAAAAAACAAAGTTTTATTGTTTAATTGCCGTCGTTATAGAGTGAGTGTAATCTAATATAGAGATTATTATTACATGGATGACAAACTAAACAAAGTTTTAGGATTTTTGTCGTTAACTTACACTTACAAACGTCACTTTTTCGGCGCCAAAAAACGTCACTGACTACAGCCTGCGTTACGTGATTTCTTATATGATACATCTGTTATGCGTTTATTAAACAGGAACTTAACAGAATAAAGCGATAAATCACAGTTTATGTCCTATCCTATTATTTGAACTCCACTTAAACTTTAATTTAAATCAGTTCAGTAGTGTTTGAATGAATATGCAGCGTAAAACATACATTCGCATTAACTTTTGTATTAAAAATATTAGTGGGATTGTTCGATATATAAAAACAAATTATTATTGTCAATAATGTCGTAATGCAGTTCAGTGTAAGCCGACGACAATAACTAGTTTTATACATCATTATATTATATCAGTTTGTTTAACAAACACTTTATGACAGAATATGATTATAAAACGATTCTTATGATAATTTTATAACAAATATCAACAAACTTAATGATGACTGATTATGAGATAAAATTATTGAATACTATCGTTGATACAGTATTTTGATGAGTTTAGTTTTTTGTTTAAATCACAATTTTTATAATATACCTATTTAAATAGCCGGCATATAAATGAAAAAAAAAATTAAATAAAAATAAAAGACTTATTAACTTTTTAGTTTTTTTCTAACTTTGTCTTTCTATGTCAAAAAATAAAAGGCCATATTTCATAAGTAATTTGTTTATTCATATACAATGAATGGTATTCTTATAAACAGACTCGTTTGAACTGTAGATTAGAGCTTACATAACTAGTTATATATAATATAAATTACAGTGTTAATGTACATTTGTTAGTGTATTATACATGAGGCACCTAGTGGCAGTGTAAATATTATATACACTTTAACATTCAGAAGAAAAGCGGCAAGAAAATTTTGCTTGTAAATAATAAAAAAAATACATAAGACTTTCGAATAATTTCAGTTAAATATTTCGTAGTTCGTTTTTTAAATAGCGGTGCCTATATAATATCAAAATATTAATATTAAAATAATGATTTACCATACGCGCTTGTGATTTTGCATAAGTCAAAATGTACGTATAGTTTACGTGAATAACACAGATTAAAAAAAAATGTTAAAATATTCGAGGATATAATACAGATAAAAAATAATATAATGTCTTCGTTTTTATCTATAAAATATTATGTCACATTAATATACGTTCGCCTTTTCTAATAGTACTGAAGCATCACACATGGCTTTCGCGGTAGATCTTACTAAGAAAGTTAGGTGTAACTGTTCGAAAACATTCAATTGTACTCTCGTTCGTACAAGGCCGTGAAGTACTGTAGCTCTTTCTAAGTCCAGCCATCTTTGTAATGATAATTCTCTCTCATCAACTGGCACTCCTTGAACTACATCCAATGGGCCCCATAACATGAATTCCAACACAGATTTCGCCTGATTTAAAGTCACGGCGCGTTCTTCTTGTAATATTTCCTTCAGCAGTGGCGTCAACTTCTCTCTCGGTAACAATATCTCTGTAGCTCTAATCGCGCATTTGCAAAGCGATGTCAAATCCTCTTCGGTTGATTTGCTGTTCATGTCGTCCGTTAAACTGAAATGTTTATATATTTAAATTAACAATTAAAAATATACCATAAGTCTAGGATGAGTGAATATATTATTGTTTGGAATATTTTGTTGAGTAATCGAATATATCTCTGATATTTCTTATAGTGTTTTATTTCGACTGTCGTTTACAAAAATAGGTATTTATATGCATATAGGTAATAATGATGCAATTTGTATTATATTCAAATTAAGTATATTATGAATGATAAAATATATTTGTATAGAATCAACTCTCAATCTTTTATATGTTAAGAGAATACAATCGTTAATTTGTCTCACCCTTGTAATATACATAATCTTCCGTAACAATTGGTTTTAGGCGCGGACAACGAACTCAACCTATCTTCGCTGGTCGTGGTACCAATCTGAACTTCCTTCATAATTACAAAGGACGTCAAAGTTTCTGGTATTTCTTCAATTCCTCTAGCTTGTAGACATTTTAAGCCATTAATGATTTGCAGCATCAGGAATATCGCTTCGTGAGTTTGATCTGATTGTGCCAATTGGTCCTGTCCACTTTCTTCGGTTGCCAACAGTTGATCTTCGTAGGACTGTATGGTGTTTATGTTAGCCGGACCTAATACTACGATTGTTGCTGAAAATTTAAGCTCAATTTAAATATAATTCTAGTTCTTATTGATTTAAAGGCTTTTGTCTTATCTTATCTCTATTGAATATAATTCGAGAATCTAGTGATATGGATGTTTATAAAGTTATTACATCTACTAGCTTTCCGCTAGCAGCTTCGCCCGCGTGGAGTTCGATTATATCGCGTTTCCAAGAGAACCTTTTAAAAGTCTGGGATAAAAACTATCACATGTTCTTTCTCAAGGTCTTTACCAAATTTCATTAAAATCAGTTCAGTGATTTAGGCGTGAAAGCGTAACAGACAGACAGAGTTACTTTCGCATTTATAATATGTATTAGTAGGGATTTGTTTTTGATTTATTATCGAAGATTAGCCTACCTTGCACTAAATCTTCACCATTTTCCCCAAACTGTTGAAGGGGTACTAAATCACTAAACTCAGTGATTGCGTTCAGGCTCAACTGGGGATGTACGGACTGACAGATTATTTGTGAGGCCATTTGTTCCTTGGACAACATCAGAGTCACGTTGACTGGACCCTGGTTTGAATTCCATAAAGCCGGGTAGAAGAATCGTTTGCCGGCTTTAGTGAAACTCTTGTTTTGTATGGAGAAATCTTTAAAGCGAAGGTTCGTGGACGTCTTCAAACCACGCAGAGAAGCCTGCATAGTAACGCTCTGTTGGACCTGAAATATACATGAAATATCCAATTAGAATAAGACTAGACTAAAATAGTATTTGATATAATCGTTATTTAACAGTAACAAAGTTAAAGAAGTTACTATCATATTACTCGATTAAAAAAAAGGTATTATTATAGTGGTTAAATTCTTGGCGTAATTTGAAATAAAAAAATTGTAAATTAAATAACTCAATATATATTTAAATATAAATTGATTTATAAACATAAAAATGATTTAATATATATCTTAAAAGGAGAATATTCCGATTTTATTATCTGTTTTTGCAAAATAAAGTAAATTTTTGTGAAACTACACTTCTATGAAGTAAGTTATTCTTTCATATACCCATGTAAATTACGTAAGTAGATAAGTAAATAAACTTCAAAGCTTTAGATTATTTAGAATACATTACCTGTTCTAAAACCTGTGCTAACGCTTCATGGTTGGCGATGACAACCGCTCCATAATTATCCTCAAGATTTTTATGAACCACACTTCTTCCTTTTCTAACACGAAGTTTGTTTGTTGTGTTCTTAGGTGTCATGTCGTTTTGGTAATCGTCATTCGAAGGGCTGTCCATGTTGTCGTTCGAACTATAAAAGCTGTAGGGGGAATATATTTCCGATTCAGTCTCACTGCCGCAGTAAGGTAGGGATGTTCTAAAACCGTTGGAATATTTTGTGAATTCGGTATTTGATTCAGTCTTCCTTTCAGATCTATCGGCTTCATGTTTGATGTTTGAATCGCATTCTGGCGAGCTTGATCTAGCGTGGTGAACGTATTCGTAATCGCTGTCACTATTTTTGGCTGATTCGCAAGTTTCTTCCTCATATTTTGCGTTGTTGTAAACATCGTCGTAATTATGTATAACTGTATCATTGGTCGCCTGGA